GTGGCTTTGAGTTTATTGTGGTTTTGGTGGTACCAGGGTTAACTTAAGCCAGGCAAATGCTCTACTGCTGAGCTGCATCCAGCTCTCTCTTTAGCCTTTTAAATGGGGGGCGGGGTGTCACTGAATTGCTTAGGTTGGCCTTGTACTCAGGCTGTGAATTTGTGATCTCAGCCTCAGCCTCCAGAGTAGTTGAGATTGCAGGTCTATGCCAACAGGACTAGAATTGCTTTTTAACACTGAGATCATATTGGAAGTATTTGTCTGTAGCTAAGTACTTTCTAATTACTGTGTATCACCCACTGGTATCTAGACTTAGATTGTACCATCGGTACTGTGATGTTGAGATGTGCCTTATGCAGGAGACACATCTTGGTGATATCCACGCCTTCATTTATCTCCTCCTCATAACACAGGCCTCCAAACAGTGAAGAAAGATCTGGGAGTGGTAGTGTTCACCCGTATTCCCAACATTCAGGAAGCCGAGGTGGTGGGATCTTAGATTTGATATCAGCCTGAGTTGTACTGTTAGCCTCTATCTCAGAAATCCAAACAGCAAAAAAGTGATGGATGCATGAGAATATGAAACACACACTCATACTTCACAGACGATTCTAGTGTTCTGGCAGTTCTCCCTCTGGAGTTAAACAGATGAGCTAAAGAGTGTTCACAAAACTCCAGTGTTGATGGGGAGAACAGACACATTTGTAAACTCTCAATCATCTACTCGATATGAAGTTAGTTTTAGTCACTGACAATTGGTTCACCTGAGATCGTATTACCCGGGGTTAGCTGCTTGGGAAGGCTGGATAGATCCCAGCTGTCTCCAAGTCTTGTGCACTGTGTTGCAAGGTTAGTTCAGAAAAAGACTGGCTAAATAAAATTCAGTTGATGGAAATGTATTTTTGCATTGTGAAGAATGAAGCTGGTATCTGGTAATAGAATCCCACAAAACACTTCCTAGCTGAATTGAGAGTCTGAGGCCATATTGCTCAGCTTTAATCACCAACCAGCGTTTCTTCACGGAGGAAATGGAAGGAAGGCAGCCTTTTAGTCTCCTTCACTCTTGCCAGCCTTAGGAGCGCTACCAGTTCTACAGTGTCCTAGTGATGTTTCAAGACCAGGACATCCCTGCTTGTTTTCTGAGTAGAGGCTATTAACTAGCAATCTTACAAATGTCATCTATTAAATTAGCAAATCAGTGATCAAGTGTACCTACTCACACATAAGATAAAGTCCCCTTTTAAAACTAGCCGTGGCAGTGTCCCTGTTCGTTCTCGATAAATGAAAGACATTATTACACAGGGAGTGCCTAAGTTTCTTGTACCTATGATTTGTTTTAGGTTTATGTATATTTAATTGACATTTATGTCTATGATTTAAATATATGTAATTTATTTCTGGTTTAAATATTCTTTAAATATTTTTTTAAATATATATGAGTGTTTTCCCTGTATGTCTGTCTGTCTCATGCCTGTGGAGGCCAGAAAAGGGCATCAAATCAATTAAAACTAGAGATACAGGGGTTGTAAACCACCATGTGGGTGATGGAACTCAAACCCAGGCCCCCTAGAAAGGCAGGAAGTGCTCTTAAGCACTGCACCTTTCCCCCAGCCCCTGGTATACATTCTTCTTTATTTAGCAGTGCTTGTGGTTAAACTATAGTCCAGACATTCATCTAACGATGTCTTATAAAAACTGTTTTCTAAGTGGGGTGTGGTGGTGCATCCCAGAATGCCGGAGGCAGAGGTAGGAAGATGAGTTCAGGCCAGCCAGGGCTTTCTAGCAAGACCCTGTCAGAAAGAAAACAACAATCAACCAACCACGCAGTGAGGACAACAGTAAAGCCCTACAGAAATCTGTTGTACACGGGGAGTGCAGGTCTAGTATGATGAGACTGTGAGTTCAAGACCAGCTTGCTTTGCATATCGAGTTCCAGGATAACTGGAACTACATAGTAAGACCCTGTCTCAATAAAACAGAAAGTCAGGTGGATCTTGGTGAGCTCCATTCCAGCCTCATTTACAGAGCGGGTTCCAGAATAACCAGGGCTGTTACACATAGAAACACTGTCTCAAACAACCAACCAAAACAAAACAAAACAAAACAAAAAACCCAACAACAATAAAAACAAAAAGCCCAAAAGACACCAGTCTAAAAAAAATTTTGTGTTCTACCACAAATATAATTTTAGAACTGTAGGACTCTGGATCCATGAACATTGAACAGTATTATCTTCATATATATATTGCTGTAGTATATGATAGATTCCTTTGACTTTTGTTTTACTAATGAATTTTTAGTAAGGGTTTTTGTTTTGCTTTTTTTTGTGTTGTTGTTGTTGAAATGCTGGGCTAGGGGGACATCTCAGTGGGTAACGGTGCTTGATTCCAAGCTGACAGCCTAAGTTTGATCCCTGGGAACTACATGGTTGAAGAGGAGAGCCAACTGATACAGACTGCCCTCTGGCCTCCACAGTACGGGCACAGACACACTCATATGTATAAACAAATAGTCAAATTAAAATTTTAAAGATCAGAGTATTTAAAATTGGCTTGTTTTCCTTTATTTATTTGTCCTAGTTAGATAATTATTGGATACGGTCTCAGGTTCATAAAACTTCCTTATTTATTATTTTTTAACATAACTTCAAACTTACAGCAGTGTCTATCACCATTCTAATGCACCAACAGTGTAAGTGAGCACTGGGCCAGGCTGGGAGCAGAGCAGAACCCTGACTGTTACTGGCAGAATGTGCCTGTGAGAAGATGTTAATTTAGACTCCCAGAGAGCCTCCCCAGGGTTCTCTGTTGTTGGGAAACCTGGTTGGAGCATGGTGCTTGTACCTGTCAGCCAACACCCACATTCTGTAGTTTTGTTTGAGGCTTAAGAGCTCTCATTATCCTGGCAGCCTCTGGCTGCTTTTCCATCAGGCCTGGTAGGACCAACTGATACACATCCCACAGTCCCTCACAGGGACACCTTTTCAGCCTTTGCTTTTCTGTGACCGTGATCCATACCCATATTCAATAACATTTAAAACTGTGGTTTTTAACTTTCCTACACAGGGCATTTCTGTTTCTAATTTTAGGAAATATTTAATTACTGTTTCCTCTAACTTTAGTACATCATTATTTTGTGCTCTTACCCATGGAACCCAGATTGTGGGGAAGGAGTTAAAGTTAGTGTGGGGACTTGGGGCATGGGTCACTAGTGGAGGGGAGAGCTTGCCTAACATAGCACAGGCTCGAGTTTGAACTCGGGCTTGTAAAAAGAGGTTTAATTCCCTTTTCTGCTGCACATCAGCACTTGCCTACATGACTTCTGGGATGGCAGAGGTTGCATTTTGGACTTTGTAGTCCCTGCTCCTGGCTGAGCAGCTGTCCTAGAGAAGCAGTGAACACTTGTTAGATAGAACTGAATTGTTAAGAGCAGAACTGTTTCTCTTTTAGTTCACAGATTGTTGTTCTGGGCCTAGGGAACCATGTAGCTGTGGTACTAGGTGGTGAGCAGGCACCAATAACATGTGAAAGCTGCCTGGGTCTCTCCCGAGCAGAGCAGAGTCTGCTCTGGCCACACCCAGCCCTCTCCGCAAACTCAAGATGGGCAGGAAGGGTGTCCAGGGAGTAGATCTTGAAGAGAAGATTCCTGTGAGCTTTGAATAGATAATCATCTAGTGTGGAAAGATTCACTAGGTAGTTGTAACTTCATTTGACATGGTTAATTTTAAAAGTTTTATGTGGCATATGTCAGTCTGACTTTCGTGTGTAAGTGAAATTAAATTTCAGTTACTTATTTGATAGTTACAAGCATAGATTCTGAATGTAGGCATGCCTGTATACCTGACTAGTACCTATAGAGAACTATGTTATACATATTTCACAAATTCAGTGATCACTCTTGTGAGATAGGAATGCTTGCAACACTTTCATTCACTACTTCTCTGCTATTGTGAACATGGGAGCTTTTATTTTTCTGTTATCTAATTTCATGCTGTACAATAAAATCATGTTTAAGTCTTATATACTTTGGCAGTAGCATTTAGTAACAGAGTTGTAACTACTGTTAAACATACATATGTAGGGTAGAGATTGTTGGCATCTAGGCAGCTCTGAATGAATGTGGAATACAAATCCATTGTGCTTAAGGCATCGAAGCTTATTGACTGAATCCCAGGCATCTCCCTTGGAAGGCTTATTCTGTGCTGTGTGGTACCATTGCATTTCTGGAGAGGGAACGAGCGTATAAGACATGACGGGAAGGTCTCTAAAGCAAGCCCTTACTAGATTTTACTAGCTAAATAGGACCAGTATACAGCAGCAAAGAAAGACGATTATGGGTGTTTACCATACCAACTAGTATGTTTTCTAATGCATTACTAGTCAGTGCTGTTGGTACATTGTATACAAGTCTAGTGTGTAGACATGGAGTGGAGAGCGGGGAGGGTAGAGAGCTCGTATGTGTGTAGACAAGTGAATGTTGTCTGTGAACTCGTTCAAGTTCTTAGAAGATGTTTTAATCTAACCTAGTAAGTGGCAATATGATTCAGTGCTTCCAGGATGCTTGCTATAAAGAAGAAAAAACAAAACAAAGCAGGTTTTAAATATTATTTGAGCATGGATGAATCAGAAGTCTGTTTCTTTAGCTATCTATGTAAATTGTTGTCACAAATTTGCATTGGTTGGCAATTGCCAACAAATAGAACTAGAGTAATTTGTTCATTTATTTGTTACTTGAAAATTGTATTTTACCAAATTAAATGTTCATCTATGTGCCGATCACTTATTTAGACATCTAGTTTAGTACTATTAAGGTTCATTGTGAACTTCAGCATGTTATGGTTTGGGTTGATAGGGCCATACTGAATACTATTGAATGGAAGGATCTTGCCTAGTAATAGTTGTGGCCCAGCGCAGTGTAGTCGGGTACGGTGTCATAGTTTTAAGTGTCTTGGTGAAGTTTTTATTTCAGCTTCTAAGCCCATCCTTCTTCTGCTCCTGTAGCTCCCTGCAGATTTCACAAAGCTGCACCTCGCCGACAGCCTCCACCCTCAGGTGACGCACGTCTCCTCCAGCCACTCAGGATGTAGCATCACCAGCGACTCTGGAAGCAGCAGCCTTTCTGACATTTACCAGGTAAGAAGGGCTCTGCAGGCTCCTCCGTCCGCTCCAGGGAGCTTTAGAATTCCTAGAGATGAGACGCACAAAGCAGGTGTGTGTGCACACATCATGGATGCATGTTATGTACACGAGGCGCTGCTCATGTGTCGCAGACTGTGCCGTGCTGTGTGCGTACTTGAGGAAGTAGCTCTACCGCTGAGTGGCTACCAGTTGGCAGAGTGTTGAAAGAGAGTGACGGGGTTGGTTCTTGTTGCTCTAAATGTTTCATTCATTTGTCTACAGGCAGATTTTGGTGTGTAAGTCTGACTCAACTAAAAAGCAGCAAAATTACCATTTTGTGGTCTTATCAACACACAAAAACCCCTTTCCCTCAAAAATAGTTTATTTTGGAGCCAAATATGAGTGGTCATGGCTTGGTAGTACAGATTCAGGTTTGCCAGTTGTTAACCATGTAAAGGGTGTGGAAATCTGAGAACGTGCCGACAATACACAGATATGCATAATTCTACAGAAAAGTAGATATTGAAAGATATCAAAGATCATATAGTTTTTTTTGTTTTTGTTTTTTTTTCTGTTTGTTTGTTTGGTTTGGTTTGGTTTGGTTTGGTTTGGTTTGGTTTGGTTTCGGAGACAGGGTTTCTCTGTGTAGTCCTGGCTGACCTAAAACTCAATATGTAGACCAGGCTGACCTCAAAATCAGAGATTCCCCACCAGCCTCTGCCTCCTGAGTGTTGGGATAAAGGCCATGTGCCACCATGCCTGGCTTCTAAGAATATTTTCTGGGGAGAAATTCCATTGTTGCTTAAATGTAATTAGTTCTTTTTCTTTAGAATCTGTTTTGGAAGGAAATCCTTACCAAAGTCTGTATGACATTAAATTTTATAGCTCAATGAAACTTTTGTCTTACGATCCCAGTGAATGCTATTTATATAAACAAATAGTATTTTGACGGTTTAAGAAACAACTTATGGACCCAAAGGTGTTTTTGTTTTTTATTTTCAATAGTTTTTAAGAAATTCAGAGTATTCAGATTTCTAAAGCAGTATACATCTTTCAGGCCTTTTTATTTATTTATTTATTTTTAATTCTTTTTTTATTTTCCAGTTTAAATTTAGATAAGAAACAAGGTTGCTTCACAAGTCAGTTCCAGGTCCCTCTCCCTTTCCCTCCCCTCCTCCCGTGCCCTCCCCCCAATCCCCCCATCCCCGTTATCCCCTCATTCCCCCAGGGAGGGTGAGGCCCTCCATGGGGGTGTCCATAGTCTGTCATTTCATATAGGGCAGGGCCTAGACCCTTCCCCAAGAGTTCAGGGTGAGAGTGCACCTCACATTGTTCTATGGGAGTCCAAAGTCCGTGTGTATACTTGGGATGGGTACTGATCTGCTGCCCAAGGCTCAATAGATTACCTAGGCCTCCTCACTGACACCCAGATTCAGGGGGTCTTGATCAGTCCCATGCTGGATTCCCAGGCTGATGCCTGGGATTCAAGAGTTAACCTTTGTCTGGTCAGCTGTTTCTGGGGGTTAAACCAGCCCAGTCTTAATCCCTTTGGTCATCAGTCCTCCCTGTCTGTTACTGGCTTTCTTGAGTTCAGCTCAGTACTTAACCGAAGGAGTCTGCCTCTTCTTCGATCAGCCACTAAATGAAGTTTCTGTTTCCCAGACTCTCTTGCCATAGGATTGTAGGCTGGCACTCCCCAGATCTATGTCTAAAATCCATATATGAGAGAGTACGTGCCATGTTTCTCTTTTTGTGACTGGGTTACCTCACTCAGGATGGTTTCTTCTAGTGTCATCCATTTGCCTGCCAATCTCATGATTCCATTGTTTTTTTCTGCTGAATAGTACTCCATTGTGTAAATGTACCACATTTTCTCTATCCACTCTTCGGTTGAGGGACATCTAGGTTGCTTCCAAGTTCTGGCTATTACAAATAATGCTGCTATGAACATAGTGGAACAGACATCTTTGTTGTATGAATGGGCATCTTTTGGATATATGCCTAAGAGTGGAATTGCTGGGTCTTGTGGTAGGTTTATTCCCATTTTTCTGAGGAATCGCCATACTGATTTCCAAAGTGGCTGAACCAGTTGGCACTCCCACCAGCAATGGAGGAGTGTTCCCCTTTCACCACATCCTCTCCAGCATAAATTGTCATTGGTGTTTTTGATTTTAGCCATTCTGACAGGAGTGAGATGGTATCTCAGAATTGTTTTGATTTGCATTTCCCGGATGGCTAAGGATGTTGAGCACTTTCTCAAGTGCCTCTCAGCCATTTTAGACTCCTCTATTGAAAACTCTATGTCATCAAAATACTTAAATTTACATGTGGACATTTTAATTATCATACTAAAAGTATTTTAGCATACAAAAAATGAATGAAAAAAATGGCAGTGTCCACAGGTTTTATTGCATAGTTCTTCTTTGGACCCACTCCCCAATAAGGAAAAAAAACCACACACATGAAAAAAACGATCAGAGACTCACATGATAGAGTTACATGAAATCCAGGTGTACCCAGGTGGGGGGAAAGACACTTCACATCTTTATCTCCTTAAGATGTAGCAAGGCTTTGTAGCAGCAAGATTGAAAGGCGATGTTTGTCCTATAGACTTGAGACCAGTGTCTTCTGGCATTGTTAAGAGCTGTGACTTTATCAATGCTTTAATTTATAGTGGGGCTACATTGTATTCCCCATACTTTGTGTGTGTGGGAGGGGCATGTAGATCTGATTCAAGACCAGCCTGGTCTCCAGTCTTCATGCTGAGTTCTAGGCCAGCTAGGACTATTAGGTAAAACTCTGTCTCAAGAACAAGAGAAAAGGAAAGGAAAGAAAGAAAAGAAATAGATTCTTGGTTCAGGAATCATCTGCCTGCCCAATGACAGGCTAGGATATGGGTTCCCTTCCTGAACCAGGCAGTGGTGACTTGTCCCTTACCCTGGAGTGGCAGCATAGGCCTGCCCCACACAGCCCTTTCTCAGAATCTGTCCCTTTTAGTCTAGGCTGACCTCTTGGAGGCTGGGGAGTGGCTTAGTATATAATGGGGGACCAGCGTTAGGATGATGTCCCCTGGAATGGGCATGTATTGTCCTGGCTGCTGCAGGAGTGGGGGATGGATAAGTCTGAGATTTCCACCTTTTGTGTTATTCACAAACACTAGGTGGATCTTCTGGCCAGAAAAACAGAAGCAAAGGAAGCACAAATGTAATAAACAAGCCATGCTCAGCAGACAGACCAGACACGGGACAGACAAACTCACCAGTAAGGCTGCAGGGTGGACTCTGGGAAGAACCCCTAGGAATGCTCATGGTGAGGGGACAGAGACATGGTTCCACCTTGTCATCTAAGCAGCCTGAGGAGTTAGCCTCCATGCTGAAATAGACCTAGCTGGTAAAAAAGATACTTTAATAAAGGCCCACACACAAGGGTTAAGAGAAAGAAAGGCTCCAAAAAGAAAATAAGACATATAAATATGAGTATGGGCATGCCAAGGGAAAGTGGTCTTCATAAATGGGAGCTTTTAATATAGCAAGGAATCTCTTTTCTCTCCAACTTTATTTTAAAACAAGCTGTAATAATCTTTCCTTTGTTAAAGAGCCAAGAGGCAAATTCAGAGAAAGATGGGTTACAGTGTAGGGCTGTCCTCAGACTTTAACTTTAACTCAGACACAACATCTAAATATTGCTTTTTGATTTCTGTTTTTTTTTAAAATGTGTATGGTTGTTTTGTATGCCTGTGTAAAGTCTGCACACCACGTGCATGCAGTGCCTATTGAGGCCAGAAGAGGGCACCAGATACCTGGGGACTGAGCTAAAGATTGTTGCCCTGTGGGTTCTGGGAACCAAACCCAGGTTCTATGGAAGAGCAGCCAGTGCTCTTAGCTGCTGAGCCATCTCCCCAGGCCTCTATTTATTTCTAGCATCCCATTTTAACTTATTTTTTTACACTCCTGTTAAATTTTATAGATTACTGATCTTATTAGTTCTTTTTAAATGTTCTTAAATTCTAATTAAGACTGCCTGATTATGATTTTAAAGAATTCCGTTTCCTAGAATTAATAGTTAAGTGCACATAGTGAAACAGTTTACAGACAGTAAATATCCCCTAGGATGCATAAAACCAGAATTACTTTTAGATTCCCCCCTCTTTTTTTTTTTTAGTATTTGCAATTTGAAATAACACACCAAATGTAAAATCAGCTGTAGTTTAAAAAAATCGTTTTTTTTCCCCCCAGGTATTTCTCCCCTCCCTGTCCTAGTTAAAATTAACTTCCATTTGACACAGCCTGTCATTGAGTATCAGGGCAGCCTGTTGGCACGCTGTGAGGGGTCGTCTTGGTTCCTCGTTGGTGGAGGAGGGTTCAGCTCACTCACTATAGGCAGGCACCATTCCTGGGGCAAATGGCTCTGGGCTGTACCCAAAAGCTAGCTGACTGGGAGCTGTAAGCAGCCTTCCTCCATGGCTTCTGCTTGGAGTTTCCGCTTCTGGTCCTGCCCTGACTGCCTTCAGTGGTGGACCGCGAGCTGACCGTGTAAGCCAAAACCCCTTCCCTCCCCAAGCTGCTTTTGATCAGAGTGTCTGTCACAGCCCCAACAGGAAAACAGAAACACTTAAATCAAATTAACACGCCAAGTGGTCGGGAACCAAAAAGTGCATTCAAAGCCAACAAACCAACAGACAAATGGATATCTTAAAGGCTTTAAAAGTTGTCCTCACCCAGTAGGTCCCTAATCAGCCAGCTCAGCACAAACAGACCCTCAGCCAAACCAAGGAGGCGGGACTCCCAAAGAGACCCCTCACACTCACCGTGGAATTGGTTCCTGGCTCTGATCTGGAAAGATCATTCTTGGGGCTCCAAGTTGAGCACCGTACCTGCTGACGCGATCAGCTCTTACCTAAAAAGGAGTGAGAGATCATTTTAGAGCCGTGACCATGGGCCAGAAACACAGATTCAAGTTATCTCAAATTCCATGTTCCGCCGGAAGGGGCACCTCAGTTGAGAAAATGCCTCTGTCAGATCGGATTGTAGGCAGGCACGCCTATATGGCATTTTCTTAATTAGTGACTGAAGGGGGAGGGCCCAGCCCATTTTGAGTTGGGACACCCCTGGCCTGGTAGTCCTGGATTCTGTAAGAACGTAGGCTATGCAGGCCAATAAGCAGTATCCTCCATGGCCTCTGTGTCAGCTCCTGCCTCTGGGTTCCTGCCCTGCTTGTCCTGACTTCCTTCAGTGATGAACTGTTATATAAAAGTATAAGCAAAATAAGCCCCGTCCTCTGCAAGTTGCTTTTCATCTGCAAGTGCTTTATCATAGCAGTAGTAACCCCAAAGAGACAAGACCTCAGATGCATGCTTAGCTTTCTGGAAAAGTTACACTATGAAAAATACTAGTTGCTTGAAGCTAGTGTTCTGTTTCGGTGTTGCAGAGGTTTTACCTGATAGGCGGAAAGGTATCAGGCCATTTACAGAAGTGGTAACAAATGGCTACCAGGGAGCTAGCTGAAGGTTGCCTAAGATCCTTTGGCTCTGGACATGCAACATTGTAATGTTTCCGTCTTCAAAGTTCTGATCGTTAATCAGCTTTGCAAAAGGTTGGGTAAAAGCTGTTTTTTGTATGTTTGTTTGTTCACAGTAAAATTATCTTATTAAAATCTGTTGAATATGACAAAGCAGAAGTATTTAGATCAAGTTGTTGGATTTTTATCCGTCCATCCGTCTGTCCGTCCATCCATCCATCTTCTCTCATTTATTATATCGCAACTGAAGTTTGCCTTCCCTCCTCTCCTCCCACGTCCCTCCCCAAACACACACACTTCCCCTTTCCTCAAGATCCACTCCCCTCCAATTCCCCTCGAAAAAGAGCAGGCCTCCTAGGAATGTTCCATTGAATTGTTTTTAAATTAACTATGGTCTTTTGTAGGTTTAAAATAACTTTTAAAAAATTTATTACATTTGTATGTTTGTTATGCATATGTGCACGCGTGTGTGAAATTCAGAGGACAACTTGTGGCGTTTTGTAGCTGGTTTCCTTGGGCCACCAGCCCCTGAATCATGACACAGAGACTTACTAGTTATGAATGCTTGGTTTTAGTTTAGACTTTTCCCACTAGCTCTTATAACTTATTTTAACCTGCTTCTCTTTATCTATGTTTTGCCACAGGGCTTTTTAACCTTTTGTTCTGTATGTCCTACTTTCCTGCTTCCTTGCTGCCTGGCAGACTGGCTGCTGCCTGGATGACTGACCCCTGATCTCCCGTTTTTTCTCCCTTGTTCCCTGTTCTCTCTGCCCACCAGCCCCACCTATCCCTCCTCTGCCTAGCTATTGGCCATTCAACTTTTTATTAGACCAATCAGGGGCCTTAGGCAGGCAAGGCAAAACAGCAGCATAACTTTACATTATTAAACAAATGCAGTATAAACAAAAGTAGCACAGTTAGACAATTGCGTCATAAGCAAATGCAACTCTTCTTTACATAGTTAAACAAATATTCTATTTCACAACTGGGATTGATTCTCTTCTCTGGGATCCAACTCAGGTCATCAAGCTTGGTGGCAAGTGTCTTAGCCCACTGAGCTTTCCCATCAACCCTAAAATAAATTCTTATGCTACTGATAGATGGGGGAAGCTGCAACTGTGGAATTCAAAAGGTTTTTTGTTGTGATTTTGTTTCCCTCACACATTCTCTGTTTCTCTATGTCTCTGTCTTTCTCTCCCAGCTCACTCCCTATCCTTCCCCCACCCGTGTGTGTGTGTGTGTGTGTGTGTGTGTGTGTGTGTGTGTACACCCACACATGTGCAAGCTCAGGTGCTTGCAGAGAGTGGAGGAAGATACCACCTCCCATAGAACCAGAACTATGGGAGATTGTGAGCTGTTTTTGTTTTGGAGGAGTGCTGGGAACTGAATTCAGGTCCCCTGGAAGAGAAGCAAGCATTTTTAAGCATTGAATCACCTCGCTATTCCCTCAAAAGTATCTTTAAAGGCAAAATAATAGCAATTGTTTAGGAATTAAGTGTGTGAATTTATTAAAAGTGATTGAGATTCAAGCACACAGAAAGATCGTTTTGGAAACCTCATACACATTCTATTAATGCTGCATTTTGTATGATTTCACACAGATGGAATATTATACTCACTTTACAAAATCTTTCGTCACATTAGCTGGGCGTTGGTGGCACACACCTTTAATCCCAACACTCGGGAGGCAGAGGCAGGCTTGTCTTCTGTGACCACGCCCTTGGCGTGCAGCAGCATCCCCGCTTGTTTCCCCATGGTGAATTCCAGCGTTGCCTTGCTTTTTTTGTTTGTTTGCTTGGGTTTTTTTGTTGTTGTTGTTGTTGTTGTTGTTGTTTTTGTTTTTTCGAGACAGGGTTTCTTTGTACTGTTTTGGAGGCTGTCCTGGAACTTGCTCGGTAGACCAGGCTGGTTTCGAACTCACAGAGATCCGCCTGTCTCTGGCTCCTGAGTGCTAGGATTAAAGGCATGCGCCACCAACGCCCGGCGCATTGTATTTTTGAGTGTCACAGAATGAATTCTCTTGCTGGGGAACAGGCAGATTCTTCCGTCTGAAGCAGTTTTACTTACAGTGGTTGGAAGTATCAAGGCCTTTAAGGGAGTATTGCCGATATTAGATTCTCTGGTTTTGGTTATTTGCTTGTTAGATTTTCCTACAATGTACTTACTTTAGTTCAGAATCTATACCCCAATAGGTTAAATGAAAATGAGATTAAAATGGCTGCTCTAGAGAAATCGTAATAGATGCTTCAAGATGCAAGATTAGAGCTCATGTTCCCTGGTCTGAACCGAGATGTTAGAAAGGAAGTGCTACAGGGTTGGAATTGTAGCTCAGTGGCAGAACGGTTGGCTGCATGTTCAGTCCCCAAAACTGCCTAAATAAAAGCTCTGCACTTCATTCTGTAAATATTGAGTCAAATTATAAGAAAATGATTAAGACTCTGGGGTTAGAACTCCTGGGTTCTCAGCTTACTTTATGGTTCAGCAGCAACATGACCTTGACCTTGGGGAAAAGACCTTTGAAGGTTTAGAAAAAGGATGTAAAGACTCTCCCTATGCTTGTAGTGAGGGTTAAATGAGATATCAGCTTACCGCATTGCTGACTTACTAAAATATTCAATGCTAACCTGTTATTAAATTCATTTTGCATTTTATTGATTTGTTTATTTATTAGCTTTTTAATACAGGGTTTCTTTGTGTGGCCCTGGAACTCTCTCTGGGGACCAGGCTGGCCTTGAACTCAGAGACCTACCTGCCTCTGCCTTATAAGTGCTGGGATTAAAAGGTATGTGCCACCACTGCCCAGCTAAATTCAATTTTTACACTTAATATTTAAATTTTTCCATTGGCCAATTCTGAAATATCTTTATAGCCTGTGAAAATCATGTGAGCTATGGTTTTTAAGTTGGTAAATTTTACAATAACATGTTTTTACAAACTTAATTTTATAAATCATCTTTCTGACTGAGTTCACTTTTTCAGGTGGAAAAAAAGACATTTATGATGTTCAAAGTTGATGTAGTTAATATGTATTTAAATTCATTCTCAGCATGCAGAAGCAGTTGGTGAATTCCATGTCTCTAATATCAAATAAGAGCAATTTGATGGCTACACTGGGACATTAAATTACTAAAGACTAGATTGACCTGAAGGATGGCAGTTTCTAGTCTTCAGATTAGGCTAAAAACCATCTGGAAATGAGTGATTCTTGTAACTAAGAAAATATTCAGTGTTTCTAACTTGCAGTCAAGTTGATAATTTAGCTTCATGCTAATGGAAGAGAAGAGTTTATGCTTTATGTGTATATATGTGTGAAATATTAGATTAAGATGTGTTACATTAATTTATGCTATGAAATATTTGTTTAATCATTCAACGATGTGTTGCATTCTTTAAGTTGCATTTGTTTAACTCTGTGAAGCTGTGTTACTTCGCATGTCTAAAACACCTGATTGGTCTAATAAAGAGATGAATGGTCAATAGCTAGGCAGGAGAGAGAAACGTACAGGGCTTTGGGGCAGAGAGAACAAATAGGAGGAGAAATCTAGAAGAAGAAGCAAGAAAAGGAGAAGGAGAGGAGGATGCCAGGGGCCAGCCACCCAGCCACACAGGCAGCCACCGAGTAAGAAAGAAAGATATGTAGAATAAAAAATGGATTAAAAGCCCAAAGGCAAACATAGTTAAAGAGAAATGGGATAATTTAAGTTAAGAAAAACTGGCTAAAAACAAGCCAAGCAAAAGCTGGGCATTCATAAGTAAGAATAATTTCTGTAGGTTTTTTTTGCGGGGTTGAGCTGGGGAACAACCATCCCCCCCAAAAAACCCAATAACATATATGTCTAGCCTTCTGCCCTGTTTAATGGTTTAAAGTTCAAGTGGGCATTGGAATAGTTCAGATAATTGCCATGTTTGTTGTACATGATTATCAAACTACGTTCAGTTTATGGCTCATTCTTCCAAGAAGACCAACAGGGGGAAAATAGTTCTGTCCATATTCTAGGCAGTCCTCCTGGAAGAGGGAATCACTCAAAATACAAACTGTTAAATTAAGTATAAGTCATTCCTTAAAAACAGAGTGGAAACACATTTTTTAACTTCATGTTTTTCTATGTAGCTCTTATAATAAATTCTAATTTTGTTCATAATTTTAGTAGAAAATACAGCTGCTCAGCTTTCAAGATTTCTCTTTTGTTGTGCACAGTTACTTGTTGGATGCTGACTCCCAACTAACTCTAGAGAAATAAATATCACAAATTATTGTGAGCTGTAATTGTTCTTATCTCTTGGGTGCCCCATGACTGATCCACTTAAAATAGTTTTTGAAATCCATGTTTGCGTCTCATTTAAGGCCACGGAGAGTGAGGCTGGTGACATGGACCTCAGTGGACTGCCAGAGACAGCAGTCGACTCTGAGGATGATGACGATGAGGAAGACATCGAGAGGGCATCCGACCCTCTGATGAGCAGGGACATCGTGAGGGACTGCCTGGAGAAGGACCCAATAGACCGGACGGACGATGATATCGGTGAGTGCTTGAGAAATGGACCCTTCAGGCAGGTAGCTTTATTGAGGCAAACGCTGGTACAATACAGCCCAAGTCTGGAAGGCTTTTTGAAGCCTGGCATCTGAGAGATCCCTTAGTCTCAATAGTGGTCACAAAAAGCTCTTCCTTAAAAAGGAAATATTTGTTGGAAAGTTTTATTTGGCCAGTATCTATAATTAGTACTGTGAATGAATGTTCTCGTAAGCCCATCTACATAATGTTTATCTTAGCTTCATTTCTGACCCCTCCCAAGTAAGTTGAAAGAAGTCTTAACACAGTATTACTTTCAATAATTTTCTTGCAGCGTTATTCTGGAATTAAACATTAGTTAAATGCTAGTTGACAAAGTGGTCATGTATGAGAATGCCATTGGGTGGAAGAAAATAGCAAAATGAGTTAGTTCATAGCCCATAGGTTGTGGAGTTCAGATCTTCTTTTACTATTACTGTCATTATCATTATTATTATTATTATTCAGTGGGATTTTTTTACTTGCTGGTTTGGTGTTAGGCCAGGTCTTTATGCATGGCCCACGCTGACATCCAACACACTGTCCTCCTGCCTCAGTCTCCCAAGTATAGGGGTCATAGGTAATGTGCTAGTTGATCTTTTGTTCACTTGACACAACCTGGACAAATCTGGAAATCATAACTAAGAAAATTCATCGTAAGACTGGCCTATAGACAAGTCTGTGGGGCATTTTATTCATTGATGAATAAAACTCATTTTATTCATCGATACAGGGCCCAGCCCACTGCAGACAGTGCCACCCCTGGGCTGGTGGTCCTGGGTTGAATAAGATTGAAGGCTGAGTAAGCCTTGGGGAGCAGGCCAATGGGCAGCATCCTCCACGGCTTCTCCTCAGTTCCTGTCCTGCTTGGGTCCCGTCCTGATTTCCTCAGCGGTAGACTGCTGTCTGGGAGTGTGAGAGGAAATACACCATTCCTTTGCTTTTAGTCATTGTTTCATCTCGGAGTAGACAGCCAAAGACAGATGTGCCCCGGAAGGGGGACAATTCTGTGCTAGATCTGACCATGGGACTGTGGAAGAAGGCAGCCTTGAGCTTCAGGCTGGGAAAGCCATTGAGTTCTCAGAGTTCAGTGGGCTGTTCTGGCGGAACTTGGAAGATAAGCGTATTGAGAACAAACAAGCCAGAAGGCGTTTTTTTCTCCAAGGCTTCTGCTTTAGTTCCTGCTTCCAGGAATCTGTTCTGCCTTGTATTCCTACCCCAACTCTCCTCGGCCATGACACGTGACCTGAGAGTTGTAAGAAACAAGCCCTTCCCCAAACTGTTTCTGGTCATTGTGTTTTGTCACAGCAAGAGAAACCTAACTAAGACAGATGTGTACTGGTTGAGGCTTTAAGTGCGCTTTGACGTTTAAACATTAGTGGGCTTTATGTCTCCCTTTCCATAGGAGCAGGACTTGTTTGCTTAATAATAGCTTTGCATTTGAAACCCATCCAACTCTGGCTCTTTTTCTTAAAATACTAGGTGATGCCTAGAATCATTCCCCACCAGAATTCTAGAGTCTGTAACTACCCCTGGCAATCCCAGGTGATTTGTTTATCATGCCACTTCAGTAAGTTTCTAAGCCAGTACATATTTGCAGAAGAACTCAGTGAGCTCAAGTCCGTGAGATTAGACTTGGGGAGGCATGAGGAACTCATTGCCTGTGTTTCAGTTAGGCAAACATACTTGTGGAAAACTGTGGCAGTTCAAGCTGTATACTTATGGTGGAAAATGGAAAACCAGCCCCTCAGATGACATGTGTCTAATTAAAGTCATTTACAGGAACTGCAAACCATTTAAGATGAAAAGCATGTGCTGGTAGTCATCCATTCATTTAGCCCATGTGGCAGGGCCTTCTAGTTCTTGGCGGCTCAGGGTGAAGGAGGGAGATGAGTCCCTGCTTTGCTGCAGCTCAGGGAAGCTGCAGTGTCCATCCATGGGGCAGGGGAGAGATTCAGATTGCATGAGCTCTGGGAGGAAAATGGAGCAGGGGCTGGGCTGACAGAGAAGGAGATGGCATATGTCTACCCACCCCAGATAGAGAACCCCAGATAAACTAGTAATACTTGTACCAAAATCTAACTTGATGAGCAAGTGAGTCTCCATTGGGCTTAGGAACAGAAATATTGTAAAGGGCATGGATGACATACAGGAGTATGGCTACTCAGCCGAATCGCTGAAAAGCCAACCCTAATGTGGGTGACAGCTAGTGCAAGCTGCAACCCCGGAGCTCTCTGCATAACTTACTGGAAGCTGGGCAGAGCAGAGACTCTCCTTCCCCCTGACCGGTTCCAGTCACCTCCCCCAGCATCCTCATCCCTAGAGAGGGGTCTTGCTGTAAAGTGTGTTTACCTGCTGGGGCTCCATGCCGCCACTCTGTCCTGAAGGGGGCGTTTTCTATTCAGAAGTAACCCCATACAAGGAGGCAGAGATGTGGGCCCAGGGGAATGGTCATCATTTAGCTCCTCTGTGTCTATTGTTCCTGGAAATGTAGGACTTACTTTGTATCTGGAAAGCCTTCTGTCTCAGAATTCCTGGAAAGCAGGAGCTGTCCACATTCCTACACATCAGGAGGAAGCTGGCTGCCTGGCTTTCTAATGCACACGTCTCTACAGTGCTAGCCTTTATTTGATAGGATTCCTCAGTAGTGAAGTAACAGAACTGAGGTGAATGCCCACATGCACATTTAAGTTAGAGTCATGAAACTGCTAATAGTTTTTAACAACTGCAAAAGGAAAACTATTTCCCTTTGGGTTTCCAAAGATCACTGGATGTGTGTCCTTGCCTCAGTTCTTTAAAGAAAATGAATTTGTCATATTCAGTTTTGTTCCATGAATCGTGACTTTGTACAGACTCGGTTATCGAGTGGTTGCGGCTTTTGTGATGTGGGTGCTGGGAACTGAGCTGAGGTCCTTTGTGAGAGTAGTACACACTCTGAACTCCTAACTGTCTCTCTAGCCCCTGATTTTGGTATTTCAACTGAATCTGGGAAATGGTATATATTTACTATTAGACCTTTTCTCTATCTTTATTCTGTATGACACAGACATTTCCTACCCAGTTTTTTTTAATGCTAGTCTCTGTTTACAAACTGAATTCATTTAACATTAATTGAATAGGAATCTTATCAAGAACCAAATGATCATACCTATGCAAGGCAGTTTAAAATTCTCCAGACTAGCGACATTGCCCAGTAGTAGAATATTTGCCCACTGTTGTAAGGCCTTAATAAAAAAAAAGACAACTCATTAAAAATAATATTTATTAGTAAAAAGCTATTTTACAGTATCTGTTTCTATTCATATGTAATATCTAAGCATATGTTAAATATTTCTGAAAAAATTATTCTCATGTTTTTCTTACACCTTTTGAACTTTGCAAGAACACGTATCAACTTCTAGAGACAGAATGAGGTAAAATGCGTGGTCAGCAGGATGAGGCGTGGTAGCTATGGAACAATCTAGAAAGAGAAAGATGCTCTGTGATGTGCCAGCAGAGGTTCATGACTTCTTCACTCCCCTCTGTGTTTCAAATCAGAGGGCCACTACACTTATAATTATAGTTACTCCTGCCTTTCATGTGATCCATGGATATGAAACATCGATTGCAGAATTATTTTATTGCTACTCATGAGATTAAAAAAAATTATGACCTGGCACAGATATGCTTGCCCATTCCAGAAGACAGAAATTATTTTGTAGGGTACACTTTGAAATTTCTCAGAAGACTGTCATATCAGATAGAATCCCTGGGTACCACCCACCTTCTTTATTCCGCTGTTAGCCAGAGGCAGCTGTGTACTGAGAAGTTCTGCATAGGGCATGAGATGTAGAGGCTACGGATAGTGTGGAATTGTCCATTTAAGGCAGAAGGAGACCTTCAGTGTGTGCTCTGGGGTATATTTTCCTGAACTTGTTTTTTAAACAAAAACGATGGTTTTGCTTTTCAGAACAACTCCTGGAATTTATGCACCAGCTGCCTGCTTTCGCCAACATGACGATGTCAGTGAGACGGGAGCTCTGTGCCGTGATGGTGTTTGCAGTGGTGGAAAGGGCTGGAACCATTGTGCTAAACGATGGAGAAGAGGTCAGCAGGTGTTTTGACCACTTAGAGAGCTCAAGGATCAGTGGTACTCAGACAAAACCATGCTCTTGTTTTCCCTTCTAAAACCTCAGCACCAATAAGTTTGAATAGATGGAAACTGGTGGCCACTCCTCTATTCATAGCATTCAAAATCCGTTCTTCTGTTTTCCCTTGCTCCACCATTTCACGGAGTGTTGCTAGACATCGTGGTTTTGTGTTGGTGCTGGGGACCAAACGGCCCTTCACATGTGGACAGGTGCTTCCCCATTCCGGTTGACTGCCCTGCCCGAGGCTGTGTGTTGTTCTATTAGCTTTTTAGTTTTTGCACTATACATCATAAATACACTGCCTCTCATCAGAACAAAATGTTTTATTGAGGCTGTGATGAACATTTTATCTTCTTTATATTTCCTTTGACTTATAGAGGAAATTTTTTTCCTGTGTCATCTTAAATGATTTTATTTTTTATTTAAATTTTAAATGATTTTACTGTGTGGTGGGTCTAAAAGGTATGCAGATGTTTTGCTATGTCTTTTTGCTTGTTTGGTAAGCAGTTAAGATTCTTCAGGTAATTTGTTCCATCTTGAAGATAGAGGGCCCAGGAGGCTAGTTTGAAACTGTTCTAGCATTTAAGCCAGGTGATGACAGTGTTGTCTTCTGCTTTGTCTTCCTTATTTTGCTCAGCTGGATTCCTGGTCAGTGATTCTCAACGGTTCCGTGGAAGTGACATACCCAGATGGGAAAGCAGAAATTCTGTGTATGGGCAACAGTTTTGGTGTGTCCCCTACCATGGACAAAGAGTACATGAAAGGAGTGATGAGGACCAAGGTGGATGACTGCCAGGTATGAGGTGCCTGAGAGCGGAGACTTGACTCTTAGTTTAAAACACAGCTTCAAGCCAGGCATACCCCCAGCATTGCTCAGGATTGCTTTGGCTTTCTGACCTCTTTTGCTTCCATTTTAGTTTTAAGACTATTTTCTATTTCCATGAAGAACATACTTGGAATTTTGATTACAGTTGCATTGAACCTTTGGTAGGGTGGCTGTTGTCCAGTCCAAGAGCATAGGTCTTTTCATCTTCAGTGTCTTCAACTTATCTCTATGGCGTTTTAAAGTTTTCATTAGAGAACTTTTATATTCTTAGTTAGGTTTAAAAGTTGCCCCCTTTTCTGGTGTGTGTATGAGGGGAGGTATTTGTTGGTGTTTGGGTTTTTTTGTTTGTTTGTTTCATTGTTTTTGGTGCTGTGAATAGGATTATTTCTCTGGTTTCCTTTTCAGTTATTTTGTCATTGGTATAGGAACAAAGGCCTACCATTTCTGTGTATTCATATTGTATCCTGCCATTTTATTGAGAGTTTTTATTAGTTTCAGTGATTTTCTAGTAGAATCTTTAGGGCTTTTAATGTATAAAATTGTATCATTGCAAATAGATACTTCTTCCTTTGCTGTTTGTATCCCTTTGATTTGATTTTCTTGTCTTATTGCTTTAGTTAAGACTTCTAATACTACATATAAAACGATCAGAGAAAGCAGGCACCATTGTCTTGTTTGGGATTTTAGTGGAGATGCTTGGCTTTCTGACATTGAATATAATTTTGATTGTAGGTTTGTCATGTACAATTTTTATTATGTTGAGATTTGTTGCTTCTGTTCTTAGCTTTTTAAAAAATATTTTTATTGAAAATTAATTTTCTTCATGTAATGTATTCTGATCATGGTTTCTCATTCCCCGACTTCTCTCACATCCTTCCAACCTCCCTGTGCTCTCAACTCTAATCCCCATCTTTCTCTCTCTTTAGAAAACAAACAGGCAACAAACCAGAATATTAAAAAAAGGGGAGGAAAATACAAGTTTTACACACACACACACACACACCCAAAACTCCTAGAAACAGAAACCATAGTATATAAGCAAAAGACCAGTAAGACCCACCCCCTAAAGATAGCCCAGAGTAAATCTTTTAACCTGAAGGGTTTGGTCAAGAGGCATCTCTGTCTGTCAAGATAACCATTGGAGTCCTTGAGTCCTTTTATGTAATTCATAACATTTATTGATATGTGTATTATATTGGACCATCCATCGATCTTTACAATAATACTGACATGATCAGAGTGAATAATCTTTTTGTTATGTTCTTGAATTTGGTTCCTAAGTGTTCTCTTGAGAATTTTTTGTCTCTCTGAGTTTGGTATCTGGATAAAAGTTTGATAGAGTCCCTTTCTTTCATGTTCTGTGAACTAGTTTGAGCAGCGTAAGTATTAATTCTTCCTTGAAATCTGGTAGACTTCAGCAGTGAGTTCATCTGTGCCTGGACCTTTTCTTAGTCAGGTGGGCTTTTGTTCTGTATACTGCTACATCAATCCTATTGTTTGTTATAGATCTGTGTAAATTACTCATCTCATTTTGGCTTAATCTTCATATTATCTTACACATCTAAAAATTAATTTCTTTTTAGATTTTTTTTCCTGCTTTAGTGGAAACTATGTTTTCAAGGTATAAGGTTTATTTTCTAAATTTCCTTATATCTGCCCTAATAGCTCTTTTACCTCTAACTGTATTAATTAGGTCTTCTGTGTCTAAAGGTTTGTCTTGTTTCTTTCCAAAGAACCAAACCTGTGTTGTTGATTTTTAGCTTTGTTTTTGCGTGCTTCTATTTTGTTAATCTCTTCCCAGATCTTGAGTATTTCTTTCATTCTACTGGTTTTGTGTTTGGCCTGTTACTGTTTGTTTAAGGCTCTGTAGTGTGTCAGTAAATTATCTATTTTGGTCTGATTTCTTAGTGAAGGCAGTTAAAAGTACAAACCCCCTTCTTAGAACTGCTTTGCTGTACCATAGGCGTGGGTTGTTTCTCTTTTGTGCATTTCTAGGACTTTCTTACCCTTCTTGGTTTCTTCTGTCCCCTGTGTATCGTTGACTAGTGTGCTATCTTGTTTCCACAACATTGTGAATGTTCTGCAGTTTCTTGCATTTCTGATTAGTAGCTTTATTCCGTTGAGATCAGGTAGAACACATGCAGTAATTTCACTTTTCCTGTTTGCCAAGACTCACTTTGTCCTGCAGTGTATTTTTTGTTTTGGAGAATGTTCAGGGACTGCTGAGAAGAATATGTATTTTGTAGTGTTGCATGGGATGTCCTATGTCTGTTAGGTCCTTTGATCCATGATGTCATTTAACTCAGATGTTTGCTTATTTTATGCCTGGATGATTTGTCAGTTGATAATACTGTTGAATTAAAAATATGCCTCTTTTATTATTTCGCTGGAGTTAATCTGTAACCTTTTTCTGCAAGTAATATTTGTTTTGTGAAATTAGGTGCACAAGCCTCTATGAATCTATGTTTAAAATCATGATATCCTGTTAACAGATTGCTCTCTTAACTGGTAAAAGTGACCTTTATCTCTTCTACCAGATATGGAAATAGCAGGCTCCTACTTGTGTATCACATTGGTTTGAGTTACCTAATAAAATTTACATGTTTAGTAGGTACTAATTTGTTATAATTAACAGGGCAACAAGTAGGGCTAGCACCTGCTGGCAGTTCAGGACTCACCAAGGCAGCAGGTAGGACTAGAGCCCCCAGGTGCCCTGTGCTCACCAGGGGAGGGGCCAAGGTTGGTTTCCTCCCCCTTCATCCCCCCAGCCCCTGCCCCAGTACCCAGCCCTCACCTTGGTAACCGGTGGGCTGGAGCCTCCAGAATATGCTGCTGTCAGTTGACAATGAGCAGGGCTAGAGGTCTAATTTCTTAATGTAAAACTGAGTAACTAAGAAAAAAGAGAAACGCTTTCAACTGAATCCATTCTTTTTAGAAACAAGTTCTATACGTCCATATTAGAAATTCAGTTCAATATGTCTTCTTTGAGGATCTTATTTTAATTTGCTACTGAAGAAATTCCAAATGTCTGTCTATATACTGAAAATTTCAAATCAGACTTATTCTAATTTCCTGCAATCTTTAGTGAAGATTAATCTTAGTATATTTATCTTCAAAAAGCATTTTCCTCCATACATCTACTTATTTATTTTAACTTAGACATGTATTTTTAGAATGTAAATGGGAAAAATCACTTAATTATGTTTTTCAAAACTAAAAAATGATCATGTAAGATGATTTGAAGACAAAACCTTTCTTAATTCTCTGTAGAAGTTCAGAAAATATTTTTTATATATTTTAAAAAGAAATAAAATTCCTTTAAGAGGGGTTGAATTGTCTATTTCAAAATCATACACATACCTACTGTGGTCAGCATTGTAGAAATTAGGTTTTTTTTCCCTTTGATTTTTTACAGTCTAGCTAAACTGTTAATATTTCCTATAGCTTCTGAATTTCTTGTTGTTTTTGGCTTTTGAATATTTAACTTGTTTCTTAATGCTTCATAGAAAAATTAGTGAGCAGATATTGGAGATATTTGAATCTTCTTACATTATCTGCTTCTCTAACTGAATGACTATAGAACACAGTGAAACACAGAACACTGTGTTAAAGAAAATTAGCATCATCCATATTTGCATTGCTAAGAAATAATAATTGTTTACATATTATCCTATTTTTCTCCAAGATTTTAATATATGTGTATATACATAAGACAGTGAGCTGTTCGCCCTCTCCTTTGGGGTGTGGAAGTATGTACGATTAGGATAATAAGCTGTGAAATTTGTAAGATTATTGTGTCATGATCATGATGTGACATGAATGCTGTCATTGGGATTATCAGTGCACTATTTAGTATTACTTTTTTAAAAATTAATGTAGAGTCATGAATATTGACCCAGAACACTGACTGTCCCATTTTGGAACACTGTCCTCTGGGCACTGTCAGACTAGTGTCCTCTTGGACCCTCTAGGCAGCTACAATTACTTCAGAAGTCTGCTCGAGACTGGGTCCATCAGTGTTAGACAGCAGGCTGGGAGTGGCTCATAAGACCCTGCCCCTTCTTGAAGAACCATAAGCTAGTAACTGTTGCCAGGGAAACAAAACATTCTCTCCAGTAGCGTAGCAGCTAGTAAGCCGTTCATCCTTCCATAGGTACGCCTCCTTCATACTTTTCTGAATAACCCAAATTATGCTCGGTATTTTGTTAAGCTAGACTTGCGCGGATTACTTCCTTTGGTCTGTTGTTGTTGCCCTATCAGGGATAAATAGACATTTCTTCACGTCTCCTTAGGAACACAACTTTAAAATATAATTTCCAGTAATTGAATATTTTATCTAGTATACATTTGAATTTAATGATCACCTTTTCATCTTTACCATATTAAAAGAGAAACAGAAATTTCAGGCATCCCCTCTATAAACTAGAGTAAATTACTGAAGCTTTAAGGAAAATGGTGGTTTTTATTTACTGGAATATCTGCTCCTGTCTCCACACAAGTCTTTGGTTATTTTATTAGTTGTGATTTCTATAATTTATCTTTAGCATTAAAATAACTCCTAATTGAGCCAAGTATGGTAGCCTATGTCTTTAATTTCAACACTTGTGATGCTGAGATAAGATAATCACTAGAAAGTTTGAAACCAACACGCTCTATGGAGTGAGATTCTGTCTCAAGGAAATTTAAAAAAAAATACAGGGGCTAGGGCATTGACTCATTGTGGAATAGCACTTTCCATGAGTTTATCATCCCATCACCCATGTAAAAAGTTGGATGTGGTCGTGTGTACCTGTAACCCAACATGTAAAAAGTTGGATGTGGCCATCTGCGCCTGTAGCCCAACGTTGAAGGGTGGTTTGGGATCAGGAGGATCTCTGGGGCTTGCTAGCTGTTTGCCCAGCAGAAAAACTCCAAGCTCCAGGTTCATTGAGAGAATTTGTCTCAATGAAATAAGATGACGGGTGATAGAGGAACACACATGTCCTCCCGTGGCTTCCACACGCCTCATACACACGCATAACCCCTGACCTCTGTGTGTGCACATGCCGTGGAGTCATTAACCATGAGTAATAACTGCTTGATAACATCTCAATGTTAACTTTTTCTCCTAAGAGAAAGAATTACCTATAATCCAACTTACAAATAACAATCGGAAATATAATACACGGCTTCGTCTCTGACTTTCTTTGAAGCAGGGTAGTTACTAAAATCGTTGTCCATGTATGTAATTAGTACAGTTACATATTTACTCCAGTATATTGACATTTGAATGTCTTCATCTCTAATTAAACCCACCATTTTTGTACTCTTACACATTTTCATAATGCATAAAGCCAAGTGGTAATTGTTTTATGTTTGTCCTAGGATAGCCTTCCTCTCTACCAGTGTTTTCTAACTGAAAATGGAGGAGGGCTTTTGAGTTTTTATATTGTTAGATTTTTTAAAAAAATAAAATATAAACTTAAAAAAATGAGCCAGGAGGAAATGCATTAAAAGTAGGGAAGTCCGGTTAAGATTCATCCCTGCATTGATTTAGAAAGCTGGAGAAAGACGGGGGAGATGTCAGTATTAAATAATTGAAACTGAATCATTAGGCAGGTAGCTCTTTTGCAAGCACTTTATCATTAACACGTGACTTACATCTTATTCTAGTTCGTCTGCATCGCCCAGCAAGATTACTGCCGTATTTTGAACCAAGTAGAAAAGAACATGCAAAAAGTTGAGGAAGAAGGAGAGATTGTGATGGTGAAGGAGCACCGGGAACTGGATCGGACCGGAACGAGGAAGGGCCACATCGTCATCAAGGTAGGGTCAAGGGGCCTTCCTTCCAAGGGGAGGAAGCTGTGCTGATCATCAAGGTAGGGTCAAGGGGCCTTCCTTCCAAGGGGAGGAAGCTCTGCTGGTCAGTTCCTCATGACCGTTTTCTTCATTTTTTCTCGTCCCTCTGATTTTGGGTTATTATACAAGCCGGTGGGTTTCCTCGTGGCATTTACACACATACGTGTCATTGAACTGCAGTCTCGTTCGTTTGACTCCCTGCTTCCCTCTCCCACAAGCATAAAAACCTATTGCTAGTTACTGGTTGATGAGTGGCAGCCCACTAGTTATCCGTCTTGCTACCTATCTTGTTTTATGTGAAAGGTTTGAAACGAGGGTGCCATATCGATGATCCGTTTGTATTAGAGGTGACTAGACTTGTATTTGTGGCAGGGTACCTCAGAGAGGCTGACCATGCATTTGGTGGAAGAGCATTCTGTCGTGGATCCAACGTTCATAGAAGACTTCCTGTTGACATACCGGACTTTCCTTTCCAGCCCGATGGAAGTGGGAAAGAAGTTATTGGAGTGGTTCAATGACCCGAGCCTCAGGGATAAGGTTGGAAATGCATTCTATTTCAGTGTCTGAATGTGAGCTACTAAAATAAAATTGGGGATATCAGTTATGTTCAAATTACTGTATTGAAATGCAAGAGCACATTTTAAAGAAAAAAGGGATGATAAATGATGCAGGTACTAATTCTTACAGATTTCTAAGCTCTAAGTTTCAGAAATATATTTTTACTTTAAATGCAAGGCCAGTGTGTCATTCTCTCGGGAATGTGGTAAGACATTACCAGATGTCTGCATGCCATAGCTCTGCAGCCACTGGTGGTGTGGGTAGCATATGCCGGGTACATGTTAGAGGTTTGGTAGCACTGGGGCGGCTCACCTCCTGTGCTGCTGAAGGCCTTGGGACCCATGTCTGAGCTGACCATCCAGCAGATGTGGGAAGCTCTGCCAAGGCCATACTGGATGACAAGCTGCACAGGGCAGTATTCCTTCCTATCACAACCCTTCCCCACACAGACCTTTCTAGGTTATTGCCGTTAGTTTTCCTTATCTAGTCTGCCCTTGTACTTTTTAGTTTCTATCTGATTTTGTACTAAGGTATTTTGATTTTATTTAGACTTCTTTCAGATATGCTTTGAAAATAAAACAACGTAGGATAAATAGCTCCACAAGCTCAGGGCAAAGCAACATCAGTCAGCACTTAAAATGCACACGTGTGTCTTGAGAAGGTCACCTTTTTTGTTATTGCGTGTGCGTGTCTACGTGTACGTGTGCATGTGGCGGCTGGAAGTCAACACCACCTTGGCTAACCTCCTCTGTTACCCTCTGCCTGGTTTTTTGAGACAGAGTTTCTCACTAAATCTGGAGCTCACCAATGTTGGCTAGATTGGCTGGCAAGTGAGACCCTAGGGTCCTCCTGCTGCGTTACAGCACACACTGCCACACCTGGCTTCCTAAGTGGGTACTAAGGATTCAAACTAGGGTACTCATGCTTGCATAGTAAGCTGGTTTATCAAGTGAGCATCTTCCCGGTCCCTAAGGACATTCTTTACATGTGTAAAATCCCTGTCTAAGGGTTTATTTATTTATTTATTTATTTATTTTTAAGTGTGTAAGTCCTTTATTCTGGGGAATCCTGCTCCATCCAAAGCCAAGCTATTAGCTTCCTAGTAGATTCCTAAGTCTAGGAGCAACAGGAAGCACTACAGAAAAGGGAGAAGAGAGCTCTAGGTAGTTGCTAGAGTACTTGCCCCACTGCATAAGGCCTTTCATCCTGAATCTAATCCCCGTCATAGCAGCAAAGGGGGTGGGAGGTTATGGGAGAGGATACAGTGGCGGTTCACAGTGAGGAGGGCCTCACCTTCGTGTTCTGTTCTCACCTGTGTAAATGGTCGCTGTTTTGTTCTGAGACAAGTTCTCACTGTGTAGCCCAGGCTGGCTTGGAACTCAGTTTGTAAACCAGGCTCAACTTGATCTCACAAAGATACACCTATCTTTGCTGAGATTAAAAGCATGTGCCACCACACCCAGCTAAATGGCCATTGGTACTAAGGATCCTTGGGGGCCACCTCAGTGACCCCAAACCACTTCAAGTGGCAGAATCACTCCAGGACCATATCATGGTGCCCTGGCAAGGTCGTTACTCTCAGAGGTTGACACTGGCCTCGACCTGACCCAACATAGTTGAGCTTAGCACGACAGCAAGTTGTAAAGATCTGGGCCCACCTGGGGGTCAGGACCACTGCAGGAGAGGGTGCACCTGGGGGTCAGGACCGCTACAGGATAGGGTACAGAACACCGATACCCATACTCAAGATTTCTGGCAAACCCAGAAGGAAACTTGTACCCAGAAAGTATTAGTTCCCTGCTCCTAAACACCCTAGCATTCTTCAGTGTTGTGCCAAAACAGACAGAGTTGGGCCTAGCAGCACACTTCCAGATGGAGGCAGAAGGATCAAAATCACAAACCGGCTTGGGCAACTTTGTGAGATTCGAATATTTAAAAAGTAGAAAGATGGTTGAGGATATATCTCAAGGATAAGCATTGATATATAAATAGCTTATAAGACCTTAAGTGAAAAAAAATAATAATAAAGGGCAAACCACCAATCTGGGGGACAGTTTGCAAGCCCTTGATGAGTGTGTCCTGGAAAGGAACCTGCTTTCTGGAACCACTAGCCTCTCAAGCTACAGAGTCTAAGCTAAGGAGTACCTCAGGCTTACAGGTGAGCCCCCTGAGCCTGAACCAATAGAGTAGACACATGCTCCCCTAATGGGAAAACATTAGCAGAATCCTGGAAGGGCTCACTCCTGTAATTCCAGCTCTTGGGAGGCTGAGACAAGACGACTTTGAAGTTCAAGACCAACTTGGGATACATGAGATGCTTACTCAAAAAAAAAAATCTGCCGGGCGTAGTGACACACGCCTGTAACCCCAGCACTTGGGAAACAGATGTCTATGAGTTCCAGAACAGCCTGGCCCACACAGAACCCCACCCACCCAAACTCAAAAAAACCAACCCCCCAAAAAGCCACTCAAGTAAAACAAATGCTTCTACGTCTTCTGCACCTCACTACCAGAACTTTAGTAGCAGCAATGATACCCGTTACTCATTCAAAAGTTACCTTCTTTAAAAAAAATCCCATCCTGGTGGCAACTGTCACTCCACCCCTTCAAGAGATCCTCGAGAGAGCACTAGAAGCCCAGAAGCGCTGCACGGTTCTGGCCCCATCGGGTCCCGGTGACCGTGCGCGACCACGGGCTCCCGCATGGCTGAGCACTCTGGCAGACACCTCCCATACAGTTCCAAGGAGTCAGGCCCACATCCCCAAGTCCTGCGAGCACCACAGTTGGCCCGCCAGAGCAGACTCAGGGAGCCTCAGGCACCGCCTCTCAGAGAGCTCAGCCAGCCCGGGCCTCCCTGGGAACACTCAGGTTCCCTTGCTACCCTAAGGGTTTATTTTTATTAATTTTCATGCTCAATATTAGTCAGTAAATTGTTTAAAACTGCGTATTTTTAAAGTGACTTCAATCACAAATCTTGTGCACTAAAACAAAAATATACTGAACTCAATTGCTTTTATAGGTGACACGGGTAGTATTACTGTGGGTGAATAATCACTTCAATGACTTTGAAGGAGATCCCGCAATGACTCGGTTTCTAGAAGAATTTGAAAATAATCTGGAGAGAGAGGTAAGGTTTGTGAGTTTTTGTGAATAGTGTTAAGTTTGTGGTCCTCTGCCTATTCTGGAGTTGACGCTATTCTTCCTGGACTCTTGTAGAAAATGGGTGGACATCTAAGGCTGCTAAACATTGCGTGTGCAGCCAAGGCAAAACGAAGGCTGATGACTCTAACAAAGCCGTCCCGTGAGGCCCCCCTGCCCTTCATCTTACTGGGGGGCTCTGAAAGGGGCTTTGGCATCTTCGTGGACAGTGTTGATTCTAGTAGCAAAGCAACTGAGGCAGGCTTGAAGCGTGGGGACCAGGTAAGAAGGTTCACCTCTGGGTCTTAAGTGTGAGTTTGTCAGTGATGATATTGACATTAGCTTTTATAACTTTACTTTTAGATACTAGAAGTAAATGGCCAAAATTTTGAAAATATCCAGCTTTCAAAGGCAATGGAAATTCTGAGAAATAACACACACCTGTCCATCACTGTGAAAACCAACTTATTTGGTAAGTGTTCTGCAAACTCAGACTGCTTTTGTTTTGTGTAACTGAAGTTCTTAATTGGTCTAAGTAATAGAAACCTGGAGTCAGATATAGAGGAAAATGCTGAGAGATCAGAGAGAAGGAGGAGCAAGCCAAACCACCTTTACCTCATTAGCTTCTCAGTGGAAAATCGAGTTCCTGTTTCTTCCCGCTTATATCCTCTCTCTGCCCAGCCATCTCACTTCCTTTCTGTCTGTCCAGACCTCCAGACCTCTATGGTTAGCTAGTGGCAAGCTCCATCCTCTGATTTTCAGACAAGCTTTATTTGTACAAGCAAGATAATCACCACAGTTTTGTTTTCACATTTAGATCTTAATCCTGGGAGAAGTAATTTCTATAAATAGTATACCAGTTAGGATTTTAGTATTTCTAGGGCCATTCTAAAATAAATGCATGGTACAGAATTCTTTATGTAAATATGTAGTTGCATTTAGATAAAACTGTACCAACCTGAGGGCCTGTCAAACCTGTCTTCTGTTGGTGAATACAGTCACCCCACAGCAGGAAGGACGTCTTACTTTTCTTAGGCTCTTCTGGATAGAGACTAGTTTCTCTGTAGGGTTTTAGTTTCTGTAGCTAGTCTGTACTACTTACGTATTTGCAGGCTCCACTGTTAGCCCAACAACATGGTTTCCATTTTTTGTGACTGATTTTGTGGTGTTTCTATTTTAGTATTTAAAGAACTTCTGACAAGATTGTCTGAAGAGAAAAGAAATGGTGCCCCTCATCTTCCTAAAATTGGAGATATCAAGAAGGCCAGTCGCTACTCCATACCAGATCTTGCTGTAGATGTGGAGCAGGTGATCGGTCTGGAGAAGGTCAACAAGAAAAGTAAAGCCAATACGGTAGGAGGGAGAAACAAGCTAAAGAAAATACTCGACAAGACTCGGATCAGCATCTTACCTCAGAAACCGTACAAGTATGTGTAGTTGATTTCAGCACCTTATTTTATCGTGTTCAGTAGAAGGATACACAAAAGTGTTGATATAATGGGTGTTTGCCTAAGAGTCTAGTAAATGCCTCCTCAGCAGAGTGTCTTAGGAGCAATAATAGACAGTTGAGTTTGCATAATTCTGCTTCCCTGCTCACTCCTAGTTTTCATGAGAGGCACGTGAGCCTGTCTTCATCTGAACTTCCTGTGGGGGTTTGTTAACATCCTGCCTGCCCCACAACTTAGCTGCTTTTGCTACTGCTTCTGTGTTTCTTGGTGTCCCCTCCACATCTCCTCTTTGCTCTCCAGGAGCTGCTGCTTCCAGTCGCCCCAATCCTTATTGCTGTTTCCACACTCCAGTTATCCAACTGTTGGGAAGATATCGGCACATCCCACAGGCCTCTTCCCTCCCCCTCAGATTCCTCTAGAATTAGCACATCAGCTGCACTCTTGAATTTTTTCTTGGATGTGTTTGCCCGTCCGGAGCTCAGGCAACCCAAGCAGGTGTCCCTGACACTTGACTTCACTTTGCTTGTTTGCTGTCTGATTTCTTCATGTTAGTTTTGGGGTCTGTCTAATGCCCTTTTATGAATCTCAGTTACCATCAGTCGATTTCTTAATGATATATTCCTCAAACTACAAATCGGAAAGATACTGGCTTATTTATTTCTTGGATAATTTAGTGGGTCTAAAGAGAAGCAATAAATGGAAGCATTCAAAGACTGAACGAGAGGGTTCAGTGGTCAGAGTGTCTGCCCACAAGCATGAAGTTCAGATTCCAGCACTAACTAACTAGATATGATCTCCTGCCTGTTACCTCGGGATTGTGGAGGGCAGACAATAGTGGATTACTGGGGCTTGCCAGATGACAGCCTGGGGAGTGAGAGTGAGTTCCAGGATCAGGGAGAGACCCTTCCTGAAAGGAGTAAGATGGGAAGTGATAAGAGACCAGCAGACGCCACCCTCTGGCATCCATGTTCATACCCTCCACACGTTACATGTGTACACACACAGAGACCACAAAAAGTCTTTCTTTTCTTCCCTATTTTCTTCTTAATTACAAAAATTTTAGTCACAGACTAAATGCATATGATTTAAACCATTATTGATGAATTGTCAGATTTGCCCTGTCCACATTAAACTATGAGTAATGATTGGTGGTTTCTAAGTTCTATGAGTCCTAAAGATATGCGTAGTTGTATGATGGTCTATAAATATGGGCTTGAGAGTATGAATTGGGACAGTAACATTTTACAAAAATTAGAATGGAGTTTTGAAAAAGATCCTTGATGAAAACTCACTTTTAAATGTATGAAGAAGCTCAAGTCACCTCAATGCAGAATTATTACCGACATAATAATAAAAGGTTCATAGAGTTTAAATTCAAATCTCTTAAAAAAAAGTTAGAAATCATTGTGGCCCTGGTAAGTATTGCTGGATATGAGACACAGAAGAACTGGGCTGTAATCCATCCACGGCTCAGGATATTGACTAGGAGAGCAGTATGAAGTTGCGTGTATGTATGTAGTTGTGGCCGTGTGAGCTTACAGAGATGCTCAAAAACCAGACAAGGGGAGATTTAAAAGACAACGATTAGCTATGTTGATTTTAAAACACTAGGGAAATATTGTGGCAAATATGTGGCTCAGTTGGGTATTTTCTTATGAAAACAGTTTGAGAAATCAATGCTGAAGGGAAAGTAATATTTAAACACAGGCTCAGGAAACTGTAGGATCTGCCGTAATGTAATCACCTTGACTTAGTGCTGACTACAGCTTCAACTTGTCTGGACGCCAGCACGTGTTTATGCAGTTCTGAGGGGAAAACCTAGGGCTGTGAGTGTGCACTGAGCCAGGTGCCCGCCTTTGTTATTGTGATAACCTAGCAGATTAGTGAAGTCTTCTAGTTATAATAAACTTACTCCTCCACCCTCCCTTAAATGTCACCTGTATTACAGAAGCTGAGGTACCCGAGACTGGCAGATTGGCAAGGGTGGGCATGAATTATTGTGTATCGGGGTGGCATTCATGATGTGCACAGAGCAAGAAACAGGTCACAAGCATAATAGAATTCAAACTATTCTGACAGGTAAGTTGAGCAGGAACACAGTGAGCCCAGAGGAAGAATGGAACCCACAGGCCGTGAAGTCAGCAGACTTGTTTCAGTAACAGTGAGCCAGTTGGAGAGGCTAGACAAGAGGATGTGCCCATGAGGGATGTTTCTCAGTTAGATTTTGCATAAAAAATGCAGAATTTAAGTCCAAAAATAACCTGTGTCTGTGAGTATGAAGGTGTGTAGGTGAGGCATCAAGAAGCAGGGTGAGTGTCAGCAGTTTATTACACGAGGTGTTGGAAAATGCTGTGAGAAACCTTTTAAAGGGTGTGCCTGGTGTGTAATGATGGTCACAGCCATTTCTACCATGACTAACCTGGTCAGACAAACGTTTGTTGTTCCCACAGTATTGTGTTATGTCATATGTCATCTCATATTTTTGACAAGGACATTCATTTGATTGAAGAATAAAATTCCACCAATGTAAAGACTTGTATCATGCACAGAACTTTAATATTTCAGGGCTTTATATCCCCAATTGTGCATACTTAGACAGAGCTTTGATTTCTGTCCTGGGCTTGCCTATATGTGGAGGAGAAGTTACACTATAATTTTCTTATTTATGGTACCTTAATTTGTATCCCAGTTTTAGTAGGGTTCTCTTTTGTTTCAAGGTGTCTGTGCAATTATAACTGTAGACATTTGCACATGATCTAGTTATTCTTCTTTGCATACTTGTGTGCTTTCTTTTGGAAACAATTGACCTTTCAGTCAAGAAATAACTTTATCCGTTGATAGGTCATGTATTAAGCATTACCCACAAGTGAGGTGTGGTGGTGCACACTTGTAATCCCAGCTTAAGAGGCCTCAGCGGGAGGCTGTAGTACCATGGCCCCTCCCAGCTTTGGTGCAAGATGCTGCACGAACACACACGTGACCACAGAACTGTCTCTCTGTAAATACGAAGGATTCTGTAGCCATGAGTAATGCTCGGATTTTTCTGGAGAATTTAAACGTGTAACTGAGAACTTTGAGCACAGAATTAGAAGTGAGTCGCAGCGTTAGCACTGCTGGTCCTCCGAAGCCAGGAAGTGTGTCCCTGCCTACTGCATGCTCATGCCCCGCCGTTGAGAGATGAGGTCTGTGTCAGGGTTTCCTCACACGTGGACTCCATGGGGATCTTGCTTTTCTACCTAGAACAGTTGAAGAATATAAGTAGCACAGTGTGAGGTTTCTCTCCCCTTTCATTTTCCTCATTTCCTTCATCTTGAAGATCAGATCTTAAAACATCTTGTCTTGGTTGTTGCTGAGCTCTTGGTGCAGTGAACTCGAATGAGCTCTTTCCCCTGTGTGTTCTCAGATTCATCCCCATTCATTCATTCATTCATTCATTCATTCAGGTACAGGGCACGTTTTCTTTACTGTGTTTTTATTCTGAGAAAAAAAATACGGGTTATGGCTATGGCTCACTAAAAAGACAGATTTTAACAAAACCTACTATGTTTAGAGATAGTGAATTGGCCTGTTTTTCACAATTTTACATTGATTGCAAGTTTAAATGAAAATGGCTTATTTCATGATCTGTAAAGACTTAGAGCCTTGACCTTGCTAGTAATTTCTTTTTTAAAATTTACCCTTCTCAGTGATATTGGGATTGGTCAGTCTCAAGATGATAGCATCGTGGGCCTGAGGCAGACCAAACACATCCCGGCTGCTCTGCCTGTTAGTGGAACGCTCTCTTCCAGTAACCCTGACTTGCTGCAGTCACATCACCGGATTCTGGACTTCAGCACGACTCCAGGTGAGCGCCAGAACCTTCCTGCTTTCCCGGTGACCTCTCTTTCAGTTGCAGTAGTGGCACAGTAGTATGCAAGTCTGGTTTGGCCGGATGGTATTGTTCACCAAGAGCCAGAACGAACTTCAAAGTCTGAGCATTGGAACCTGTTCTTGTATTCTGAAAATCATTTTGGTGTGACTGAACCTGTTTTGTATTTGATAAAATGAATAACATTCTACAGTTATTACTAAGTTATACCAAGTAAATAAATTGGGAGCCATGTTTAAGTAAGCTTCATGGGCTTATGTAATAAAGATGACCTTCAGGTGTAAATTTTTGTCTGCTGCTCACAGGACAGCTGTGTTTTGCTCCTGTGTTTCATTTGTCTGTTAGCCATGCAGCATCTGTTGGGGAAGATGTGGTTTTGTGGCCAGGGTGTCCCAGCTCCGTTCAGGAGGGAGAAGCCATCATCCTTTGAGGGGTGGGGTGTGTTTCTTTGTGCTGCCATCTGCTAACACTGCTTCTGCCTCTGTGTGGCTTCTCCTGCCCCAGACTTGCCAGATCAGGTGCTCCGAGTTTTCAAGGCTGACCAGCAGAGCCGGTACATCATGATCAGTAAGGACACCACAGCAAAGGAAGTGGTCATCCAGGCCATCAGAGAGTTTGCCGTCACTGCCACCCCAGACCAGTATTCTCTGTGCGAGGTCTCTGTCACGCCAGAGGGAGTTATCAAACAGCGGCGACTCCCAGATCAGCTTTCCAAGCTTGCGGACAGAATACAACTGAGCGGAAGGTACAGTCTGCCTCACCGAGTCCTTTACTCTTCAAGCCTGTATCCAACATTTGCTGATGATACTTTGTTTTTACAGTGGTGCACCTTGACCCCAAGGCCTTGCCAAGCACTCTCCCACTCAAGGGAAATTAGTAAGATGGATAACTTGCCTTTTTTTTTTCTAGTTTTCTGTGGAATGTCATTGTTCTTAAGTTTTCATGGTATGGGTCTAAACCATGACTTTCAAACCTTGTGTGTTCTACTGGTGATGAGAACTTCCTTGCCCTATGTCACTTCTAATTCCAGCCCCAATACTAATAAATACTTTTTAGGAGTTCAAAGGTCAGGCATCCTCTGTAGATCTGTAGCTGTGCAAATCTCTCCACTGAGATTCAGCTTCATGATTCCCATCCATTCATTATTCAGGAGAGTCAGGCAGTGAGGGTTACCACAGTGGAGAACTCTAACCTGTACATGTCGAGGGACAGGGTACATGTTTTCCCATCCTAAATAGTTTGTGATGCATGTAAAAGACCAGTCAGGACCCCGACTGTCTTTGTTTTTGGTTTCACCTGGAGAAGGCAATTGCCTGAAGACGGAGAGAGAAGCCACAGAGCAGACACCGTGGTTCTGTTTCCAGTGAGTTCCCTCAAAGGGCCACAGCGCTGTCCATATCGACCAGGCTTCAGATGCCTGCTTCTGAGTCTGACAAATTGGTGTGATGCCTCCCACTTCCCTAGATGAGTTTCATGAAAACCTAAATATTTGAAAATTAAAATCTTGGAGCAGGAGTGATGACTTAGCACTTGTTGGTATTACAGAGCTCTGTTTCTAGCGCCCCCATGATGGTTCACAACCATCCAGCTCCAGGAGATCCTATGCCTTCTGACTTCCGAGGATAGTGGGAATATGGTACATACATGCAGGCAAGACACTCACACATGGAAGTAAACTTAAAAACCTGCTTTAAGATCAGATAGAGGAAACTAAATTGCTCTGGGTCTCCCCCTCCCCATGTTGTGTGTGTTGGGGGTCACATGTGTCACAGCGTGTGTGTGGAGGTTGGAAGACAACGTCGTGGACTCACATCTCTGGGTCTGCCCACTGAGCCAACTTGCCAGCTCAGTGAGTTTCCCAGACATTAACTAAAAAGCAAACCTGGAGTAAGCTAGGATGGACCTAGCAACTGCCAGATTCCCTCTTCCCTGGGAAACTGAGTTAGGACCTTGAGCTGATATGTATCTAATTGAGAAAACAGCTCTCTTCTGTTGTCTTCAGCAAACAAGCTGAAAGTATTTCAGTGGAAGGGGCGGGAGTTGTGGGGGGAGGGGTAACTGTAGGACTGGCACAGAGGAAGTTCCCATGGTTTGCCCGATTCCACTTGCCTGCTGAGTAGGTAGCTGTCACCTGGTGGTGCTGTGAGCTGGTGACACAGACCTGGTGGCTGGGGAGACATCTGTACTGCCCAGGCTGGATGAAAAGAGCTCTTACATCATTCTCTTAGTTCTTTCCCACCCCCTTCACCCTCCCCACCCTTCGCAACCTCCCCTCCCCCACCACACACACACACACACACACATTCTCTTAGTTCTTTCCTACCCCCTTCACCCTCCCCACCCCTCTCAACCTCCCCACCCCCACTACACACACACTCACACACACACACACTCACACACACTCACACACACACTCTCACACACACACACACACACACACACACACACACACACACACACACACCCGAGCTAGCAGTGCTCCCTTAGAGAGTACCACAGGCTCCTGCTCAGCTTGACAGCTGATGAGTTCCTGTTTCTTCAGGTACTATCTGAAAAACAACATGGAAACGGAAACACTTTGCTCAGATGAGGACGCCCAGGAGCTGTTGCGCGAGAGCCAAATCTCTCTTCTTCAGCTCAGCACTGTGGAGGTCGCCACGCAGCTCTCCATGAGGAACTTTGAACTCTTCCGCAACATTGAGCCTACTGAATACATAGATGATTTATTTAAACTCAAGTCAAAAACCAGCTGTGCCAACCTGAAGAAGTTTGAGGAAGTCATTAACCAGGAAACATTTTGGGTGGCTTCCGAGATCCTTCGAGAGACAAACCAGCTGAAGAGAATGAAGATCATTAAGCATTTCATCAAGATCGCGCTGCACTGTAGGGAATGCAAGAATTTTAACTCCATGTTTGCAATCATCAGGTAAGAGTATCTGTCCTAGGTGCAGTTGATTTTTGCAGATTAAAAAAAAAGCAGTCTTCGAACAGCATGTAATCACAGAATATAGCAAGTTCATAATTGCCACTGTGTGTGTATTGCTGGTCTGTAACATAAGGCCTCATGTACACTATCCTGTAAATGATTCAACAAGTCGTTCTTTCTTTCTGTCTCTAAATCATCTTCAGCCCCCCCCCACACTGAGGGGTTGTGTGGAGGCAGGTGGGCATGTAACCCGTGGTCCCGTTTCCCAAGCGCTGGGACTCTAGGTGTGTGCCACTGTGCCCTCCTCTGTGTCTTATTTAATTTGGCCCATTTGGTGGTAGCTGGGGAGACGGGACGGCACGGTGGGCAGAGGTGCTGAGGGTGCAAGCTCGCAGGCCTGCGTTCAGACCCCAAGCACTCACGGAAGAACCATGCACCCTGCACTTTCAACTGCAGCTCTGCGGGAGGCAGAGACAGGTAAACCCTGGGGGCTTACTAGACAGCCGCTCAGTCTAGGGGAAGTGGTGACGCTGGAATATGTAAAATAAGATTGCTTGTAATTTAAATAGAAAAATGAACAACCCTCCCCCCCCCAAAAAAGAAAGAAATGCAATGAGAGACTGTCTCCAAAAAAATAAGATGGAGAGCCATATGGAAAGACTGAATATTGACTTCTGGTCTCCATAGGCATGCAGATACACTGCCCATACAACACACATGCCTGCACATATGCACATAAAATCAAAAATTTAAGAAAACGTCTAAAAGTCTCCCATTTATTTGTATATTCATTTTCTCAACCTTATTTACTCTGATTTCTGACAATTATTTGAACCTCTCTGAACACCACTCATTTTCTGTGCAAAATAACAATATCAAGAGAATTAAGTAATATAATAATGCCTAAGAGATTCCATCACAGCACTGTTCAGAGTTAACTTTCTTCTCTTTTAGAAGTGCGTACAGGGAGACAGGAGAAAAATGAACATGGGTAGTTTCATGGTTGTGAAAAATGATTCTTAACCATTTTATCTGTCTGGAATCTTCATATTCATGGCCAGTTTAATTTTTATGATGGAATATTTACTTTTAAAACTAAATACTTGTTATGAAACAAATGCTGCTCTATGTTATGTGTGACGCTGTTGCAAAAGTAATTGGCGTGTCAAACTCTGAGGTTTAAATCCTATAATTAGGTTCAGACATCTTTTTGTTAATCAAAATAGGAGCCATTGCAGTCAAAGGGTTTTTTTTTTGTTGTTTTTTGTTTTTTTTGCCAACGAGAAGTAGGTTTGTCTTTTCCTATATTATAAAATCTATGTTTCAGGATTCAGCTAACTAAACCTTAGTATTTTCTACATCCTACTTATTGTGAAAACATTTTCCCTACAGGAGTTGTCATGCTTGGAGAAGTTGTAGTTGGCTGGCAGGGGCCAGGTGGATATAGTGGGTAAACGTCAGTATTGTAGCCCAGTTTGTTCATCTTTTGAAGCGATGTGCCTCATGTGATTGGGCGCAGTCACGGAGAAGAACTGGGCCCCTTTCTGTTGACCAGGGCTGGCCAAAGGAATTGCAGAACTGATGCATGATGCACCTCATGATTTGCTGAGCACATTTTTCAGATGCGATGGTTTAGCCGGGATTCAAGAAGTTGCAGAGAGACAGACCAGCAGGAGAACGCCAGTTACCATAACCTCAGTTAATGCAAGTTTAGTTTGGGAAGTGCTTTGGAGTTTTGTCTAGGTCTAGACACTGAGCTCGTCATTGCTAATCATCATATACAATCCTTATCACATGTAACAACATAATGATGAGTTCATTGTTATTACAGAGAATAAGATAATTGGACAGTTACTTTTGATTTTCAGTAGGCTCATGAGCCACACATTTATTGAGCGTTTTCAAACCTTTCCAGTTTGTTTCAAATGCCTCGAGACTGTTGAATAGTTCACCCTGAGTTCCCTGGCGATGTCTTGTGTAATTATTAAGGCCAGCCGTGGTGATGGCTCTCAGCTGATCATTGACAGCCTCTGCTGTCCAGCCACCTGCTCTTCATCTTCGTGGCTCTTGTCTCCTGTTTGAAATTTCTTGAACCACCACCGTACTGTTTGTTGTTAGAAATTCCTGAGCAAAATTTGTTGCTGCTAAAATTGTCTCTAATGCTTTATAACCCATTCTGACCCCCAAAAAGGAAATTGCTAAATTTTATTTTTTGTCTAACATCATTTCTGTAGTATAAAAGAAGTATAAAATAAGCAGTGAGTCGTAAGTCATTAACAAAAAATGTAAAGCAAGAAATGTATATTAAAATGATCCACAGTGGGTTGGCAAGTTGGCTCAGTGGGTAAAGGCACCTGCTCCCAAGCCTGACATCCTAAGTTCAGTCCCCAGGACCCATGCGGTGAAAGGAGAGGGTAAATCCCTACAAATTATCCCCTGACCTCCACATAGCCCATGGCATACTAAATAAATAAATCAGTGGTTCTGCGACTCTTTACTGTAGTTCCTCATGTCGTGGTGACCAACCACAAATTACTTTGTTGCTACTTCATAAATGTAATTTTTCTACTGTTATGAACCATAATATAAATATCTTATATGCAAGATATTTGATATTTGACCTCCATAGTGGTCATGACCCGCAGGTTGAGAACTACTGAAATAAATATTTAAAAAATAAATTATAATCTCATTTATTAAGGATGCATTCCAGTATCAAATGGTAAATTTCAGCAATGCAGACACCACAATTCTTTTGAACATGTGAACACGAAATATCATGAAATTAACAGTACTCATTTTCTATTGGTTCTGTTATTAGTGTGTCTGTCAGCTGTCTATTATTATGACAAAATACCTGAGATAATCGTTTTATAAAGAAGAAAGGCTTATTTTGGCTAGCCATTTTGCAGGTTTATGCCCGCAGTCACTTGGCCCTGTTGTGCCTGGGCCTGTGGTAAGGCAGAAGTATGTCACAGCAGGAGCATTTGGTGGAACAGAGTTGTTTCTGGCTAGAAAATAAAAACAGGGTTGAGATGGGAGAGGGGTTGCCTTGCCCCAGTTCCATAGGAGAACCTCTGCTACTCACTATTCCCATTCCTGTTTTGGAGCCAAGGTCTTGCTTGCAAATCAGCTGGTCTCCAGTGTGTGATCCCCCAACCTCTCCAGTGCTAGGACTGCAGGCATTCCCACCTCTCCCAGTTTACCTTCCTCTCTTAAATTGTCCCAAATGCACTGGGGACTAAGCCGCACCTCTGGGGACCAGTTCATATCCATACTACAGCAGATAGTAAAGAGATCAAGAGAGCACAGGGAAGAGCCTACTGGCTGGCTGTGGTGGTGAACCTTTAATTCCCATACTCCGGGAGGCAGAGTCGGGCCGATCTCTGTGTCTGTCCAGTCCATCCAGCCAGGGCTGCGAGCAAGAGCCTGTCTCAGAAGAAAACAAGCAAAACAGATGGGCCAGCTGATAAAGAAGAGTCTAATCCCTGGACCCGCGTGTTAGAAGGGGACACGTGACTTCTGAAGCTGTCCTCTCACCTTCACGTGCTTGCTGGGACCCCCCCACACACACACACACACATAGGTGGGTGGATGGATGGATGGATGGATGGATGGATGGATGGATGGATGGATGGATGGATGGGTATAAAAAATGTTAAGATAGCACAAAGAGAAGAAGTATAAAGGCAAATGGTTTGGTTCTGACCCTGCTTTTAGCTGCTACTCCCTACCCAGGCAGGATTGGCGTGATGATCTTAGGCATTCTGTAAACCTCCATGCATAGGTGTTTTGTTATATGTCTTCCTTTGTTTGAGAGGGGTCATTTAGCCATATCTCACTTCTCTTCTCTCCCTCTTAGCGGCCTAAACCTGGCACCAGTGGCAAGACTGCGAACTACCTGGGAAAAACTTCCCAATAAATATGAAAAGCTATTCCAGGACCTACAAGACCTATTTGATCCTTCCAGAAACATGGCAAAGTACCGCAACGTCCTGAGCGGCCAGAACTTACAACCTCCGGTAATCCCCCTGTTCCCTGTCATCAAGAAGGACCTCACATTCCTCCACGAAGGTGAGCACAGGTGGGCTGGCTCGCTCCGTTCCCGGGGGAGCACAGCATGAGCACTGTGTGACGTCTTCCTCCTCCCTTAATCTCAGGAAATGACTCCAAAGTAGACGGGCTGGTCAACTTTGAGAAACTAAGGATGATTGCAAAAGAAATCCGTCATGTAGGCCGAATGGCCTCTGTCAACATGGACCCTGCCCTTATGTTCAGGACTCGGTACGTGAGTTGTTGGCCATGGCATCTGTGGGGTTAGAATGGTTAGCGTGAGCTTGCCCACAGTAGGAAAATCTGAATACTTGACTGCAGGAGTTTCATTAGGTTGTGCTGAGAGAGTCACCCTCAAGGTTCAGTTTGTAATGATGTCTCTCATTTGCACCCAGGGCACATAATGCTGGTAGTGCAAACAGCTTGTCCTTCAGACAGTTTTAATTGAATGTTAGGTGCAAGTATTTACTTCTTATTTTCCAGAACACTGAGCCGCGGAGTTAGAACTTGTAATCGGCAGTACGAACTAGAACAGAATTGTGGTAATGTCCACACGGTGTGTTTATCTGGCCATAAAAAGCAACGATTAGTTCTGATGGAGGGAGTGAACAAAGGTGCAGGCAGCAGCCTTTTAAGCCAGAGAGACGTTTGTAGTGGATGCGTGTGAGGTGGCTATGCAGTTAATGTTTGTGGGCTTCTAGAGCCGCTTGTCCAAAAGTCTGGTCCTTTCTTTCTGAGCTTGTGATCTCTCTGTCTCTCTCTGCACCCATGCTTCAATCTCCGTGGCTCTCACTTGCAGGAAGAAGAAGTGGCGGAGTCTGGGGTAAGTGGCAGGGCGTTTGCACGCCCGGTTCTTGCTCAGCCCGCTGCACTGTTCCCTCACCCGCTCTGTTTCCTGATGCTTGGCTTTCCCCCTTAACCCTCCCGCTCTGTCAGAATGTCAGACGCAAACTGACTTCAGATTTAATCTGCTGGGGCTCTGCTGAAGTCAGGTCCGTAAGAGCTGTGAAATGACTGATGACTATTCTGGAAGGGGATCGATTACTCTGGGACAATGCACACCAGAAATATTTAAGGGAAGCGGGCTTTCAGAAGGAGGGAGCCGTGCAACTAAAACCACTATTGCACAGGTCCAGAAGTGGGTATGGTGGTGTCAGCCCCCACGCCCCAAAACCCAATTTTCTACAGCTCAACTAACTACTGTTTCCAGTCTATATAATTCAGCCCCCTTTAAAAAATAATTCTTAACAATTCATGTACTAAATAGTTTCCATACATTTGTTTACATCTGCATGACGGTTGTATTAACAGATTTACTGTTTTTAAAACTCACACATTCAACCCACAGAGTAACAACGCAATTGTGAACAGTGTACTTGAGTTCATTTAAGTCCATATAAAATGCCCCCATTAGGAGAAGCAAATATAATTTTGTAAATTGTCACTAGGATCACTCAGTGTCCTTGCACAAGCTTTTATATGCAATTATGTTTTCTGGCTTCTGTGAGAGAACGGACTCTGAATGCTCTGTGAGATGAAAAGTAGAATTTACTAGTAGGAGCAGAACATATGCCAAGCATATTTGTGTATATGTATTATGTATAATTTTTTTAACCAAATCTTGTGTGATCTCTGTTGCTCTGCATTCCCCTGTAGCAGTTTACTTACTGGAATGGGGCATGTGACCTTTCAAGCATAGAGTCTTTACACAAGTCTGGTAGATCAGCCAATGCCATGCTCCAGAGAGCTGCATTCTTCTTTCTCGTCTTCCAGGTCTCTGAGCCAGGGCAGTGCGAATGCCACAGTGCTGGATGTTGCTCAGACCGGCGGGCATAAAAAGCGGGTGCGCCGTAGCTCCTTCCTCAATGCCAAAAAGCTGTACGAAGATGCCCAGATGGCCCGCAAAGTGAAGCAGTACCTGTCCAACCTGGAGCTGGAGATGGACGAGGAGAGTCTCCAGACGCTGTCACTGCAGTGTGAGCCAGCAACCAGCACATGTGAGTGCCCCCCAGACCGACTGCACATTGTTCCGTGTGGGATGGTGGTGAGGGGGCCTCCGAGCAGAGAGGCACGCGGTGGTCCTGAGATACGCTGGCCTTGTGCTTGGCCGGGTCTTTGTGGCGTCAAGTTGGTGCGGTGAGGGGACACTGGGCTCACACCTCCTTGCCTGGATGTCATCTGACACAGCCAGCACCACAAGCAAGGGACGTGGAGGTGATTGTGGTTCCAGCTGTATGCCTTTCTTCTCCCAGAGGAACTCCTAAAATGATGGGCAGCCTGGCTAGAGGTCATCAGGCCAGAGGAGTGCTGAACTGGGTCTCCCTTAGCGCAGACAAGGTCCAGCACCTGCCCCCGAAAGCAGTGACCCTGCTGTACAACACACCGCATCTGAGCCCGAGCGTAGGTTCCCAACCCTGAAATAACTGGCCCGCTGTGAACCAGGTGTGGTGGCACATCTGCAGTTCCAGCTTCTGAGGAGGCTGAGGTTGGAGGATCACGGGAGTTCAGGGTTTCGGTTGCCAGCCTGGACAACGTAGTGACGCGTGACTGTTAAAATGAAAACTAAAAATGTGGCCAGTCTACATGGACACTTTCCTTTGTGTCTGTTTCTATATGATAAGATTTAAGCATTTTATTTTTGCTTTTAGGACACTTTTGGGCAAATTTGAATTATATCTTCTTGATAATTAAAATAAGAGAAAGATAACTTGAGAAGATCACGTGATCCAACCTACCCAGAGCATAGGACTGGAGAGATGGCTTAGTGGCTAAGAGCACTCATAGTTCTTGCAGAGGACCTGTGTTCAATTCCCCAGAATATATGGTGACTCATAACCATCAAAAGCTCCAGTTCCAGGGGATCCAGTGCCCTTTTCTGGCCTCAGGTTCTAGGCACACGCTCAGTGCACGCCCACACCCACAACACTATAGAGGCCCCATGCGACACGACTAAGAGCTTGCTTAGATGAGCAGCTTGAGTTTGCTAGCTGTTGATCTCTGAGTTCTGCCCGCGAGCATCCACAGCACCTAGCGTCCCTGCACGCTACCCTCTACCAACCGGTACCCAAGCAGCATTGGACGCGGTGTGCTCCAAAACAGTGCTCCTTCCTAGATAGATCTTAGATAGATTAATAGCGTTGTCTCAGGGCAAACTTTTGGATGCCATCTTAAAACAATTCTTGATTTTCTTATTTTGATTTTGATCATGTATTTACAAGTTACCACAAAGTATTTATAAGATGTGGATAGTTGTCACCAGACATGCTGTGTTGTACCGTGGAGGCTGGAGGACAGTGTGTGGGAGCTGGCTCTCTCCTTCCACATGGGTTCCAGGGGTCGAGCTCTGGGGGCTCGGCTCGGCAGCCCCATCCTCTGCCCCCTGAGCCATCTGGCCAGCCCGCCTGCTTGTGTGTGTAACGTCCCATCTGGCCCCTAGCACCTCTCCTTGTCAGTAGCTGGGGTTTCCCCTCCCTCCCTGTCCCTGATGAGGCGGTGCGGGTGGGGCCAGTGCTCTGCAGCCCTGAACCTGTGTCCATGTGATGCTGACACCTGTGCCGCGTGTTCTGTTTCCACCCTAAACAATGACCAGTGCCCAAGAACCCTGGAGACAAAAAGCCTGCCAAGACCGAGACCTCCCCTGTGGCTCCACGAGCAGGGCCACAGCAGAAAGTGCAGCCTCAGCAGCCGCTGCCGCAGCCACAGCCACCGCATAAAGCCAGCCAAGGGCTGCAGGTGCCCGCCGTGTCCCTCTACCCTTCTCGAAAGAAGGTGCCCGTGAAGGATCTGCCACCTTTCGGTGAGTTTCTAAAGCCGCATAGTTAGTGTTCATCTCGGATAACTTTGCCTCATGCATTTTATTTCTCTGTGGCCATCTTCTAATAAGACAAGCAGCGGTTTAGTTTCATGACTGTTTTAACAAGCAAATTCACTTTTTCTTAGCATCTAGTAGTTGGGTTTTACCATGACACTTCTCCCGTTACCCCGGGGAGTGTGTCCCACCTGCCTTCTCCTCCTGGTCACTGTGTGTCATGTGCTGAGTGTGTGGGGAACACGAGAATCGTTACTTGACACGTTTTCCCTGTCAAACTCTTGTGTTCATCTTGCGACAAACAAATTGAATTACACATTTTTTCTGCTACCTGTATTCTCAGTCAACAGATATTCCCGAATCCCACACTTGTGATTCTGTCTCCTCTTCTGTGCTGAACTTTACATATGGAAGACTGTCACTCTTCTTTTTATCGAGAAATACACCATTAGCTATATTTAATGTGAGGTAGGAGTTCCTGAATATAAAGCTGTCTCCCACTTTCTTAAAGAGAATGTCTCTCAAAATATCTTCTAGGTTCATTTGAATTTATGAGCCTTATAATGTGGATGAAATATCACCTGTCATCCTAAGATACTAAGTTTAATGTATCTAGAGTCACATTATAAAAAAGAAATACTAATTTAAAGCTATTAGGAGGTTTTATTCCCTATCCTATTTCATGAAATAGTTTTGTTGTAAACATTTCCCAGCATCTTGTACCTTAGTCATCACCCATGGGATGTGGTCATACATGCTTGTAATCCCAGAATTTAGGAAGACTGTGAGTTTACAACCTGACTGGGCTGCCTAACAAGTTTAAGACCTGCTGGGGGTACTTAGCGAAGCCCTGTTTAAAAAGTAAACAGACCATCACCGGAACCACTTTGAAACACGAACATGGCTGCGAAGGGGTAGCATTTTTATCTGCGGCCACTGAAAGATATTGGAAGTCTATGGAAAGTGTCTGTGTGAGACACCCTGGACATAGCTTCCTATCAAAACTGTCCATTCACAGGTCAGTGGAATGGCTCAGTGTGTAAAGGTTCTCGCCACCAGACCCAATAATCACCTGAGTTGCAGTCCCCGGTTCCCACTTTGTAGAGAGAGAACCAACCTCTTCAAGTCGCCCTCTGCCCGACACCCATGTGCCCCTCCCACACACCAGATAAATGGGAGATAGCTCGAGCATAAAGATGCTCATCAGCAAGCCTGGCGTTATGGAGGCAGAGAACCGTCTCCTGCAGGTTGTCCTCTGACCACCACGCATGCGCCGTGGTACACACACACACACACACACACACACACACACACACACACACTCTAGATACATAGGAAAATGTAAAAAGCCAAGTGTGCTTGTATAGAGACACACACATGCATGAACAAATAGTCTGTTTGGGTTTTTTTGGGGAGGGGGGTGGTTACTGTTTTTGCTTTTGAGTCAGGGTCTCATGTGTGGCCTATGCTAGTTTCAAACTTAAAGAGACTCTCCTGCCGCTGCCCTCCAGAAGTGTGTATCACCACACTCGGCTTAATGTTTTAAGAGAAGAAACTACCCAGTCATGTAGTGGATCTATTTATGTATACTGTTTATATTAATACTTCCGCATTTAATCGGAGAAGTGCTTTAAGAATGAATTTTTAAAAACAGAATTGTATTAAACCAGCTTCAAGGGGGTTGTCAATGGAGCTCAGTTTGTGAAGTGCCTGTCTAGCCTGTATGAACTCCTCGGTTCGATCCTCACTACCACATAAACCAGTAATCAAAATCTCAGGAGGTGGAGACAAGAGGACCAGAAGTTCTAAGCCATCCTCAGCCATGTAGAGAGTTCCAAACCAGCCTCAGATATGTGAGACTCTGTTTCAGAAAAAAGAAGGGAAATAAAAAACAAAAGAGCATCAAACCACTAACAGAAGAAACATTGAAGGGTTAAATTCTGTCGACTCCCTTTTAATGGGCCTGTTACGTCTATGACCATTAAAACCAGCCCTGACTTAATGTAACTTCAGGCTCTTAGGACTTTGCAGAAATATCTCTGTTGTTCAAAAGCAGCCTGAGAATGATGATTCTGCAAAGCCTTTTACCATGCCTTCTCATTCTCTGCCTTGTCGTGAGAGATTCTGCTTCTCCACCTCCTTCTGCGCCTTGCTGGTGCTGGCTCCATCCGCCTTGGGAACCTCTCCTGGCCTTCTGCAGTGCCCACAGGAGACAGGCTGCCTCCTGCCGCCTCTATCCTCATTTGACCAAACATGAATGGCATGCCACCCTTTAGAGCCCTTTTATTGACTTCCCCCGGGTAGCTCCTGTTAACTCCTGGCCCTTTACTTTGCCCCCACCAATTCCTTCTTCCTCGGAGATGACATTTCCAAAAATACCAAAATGCCTTGCTCTTAATCCAAACTTGAGTGCCATCTGGAATTGAAGAGCGATGAGCTGCCTTCATTCTCAATTCTAATGTTGTCCAGTTCCCTGGCTGCTGCACCCAACGTCCCATTGTTACCTAAAGAAACACAGTTGAATAAAGCGATGACCAAGGCTCAGAATCCGAGTGACATCAGAAGCAGTCCGTTTCAAGTACTCCCGGCAGATCATCTGTCAGAAACTGAGCCACACACACCCCCTGCCTTGCTCCGTGCACCAGAGGAGCACGTTTAGACTGTAAATAGATTGAAACTGGCAATACTGGATATCGACACACAAATGGCTATTACTATTTAATATTTCCTGTCAGTCTCCTTTACTCTTTGTCTGTTTGTTTGATGCTAGAGTAGAAGCCAAGGCCGGTGCATGGTAAGAAGCTGTTCTAACCACTGAACTGCCTCAGCCCCCTTCAGTCTCTAAAATGGGTGCCTGAATTATTTCCTTTTTTTTTTTTAATAGGCATAAACTCTCCTCAAGCGTTAAAGAAAATCCTGTCCTTGTCTGAAGAAGGGAGTTTGGAGCGACATAGGAAACAAGCAGAAGACACACTGTCAAATGCATCTTCACAGCTGTCCTCACCCCCCACCTCGCCTCAAAGCTCTCCAAGGAAAGGTAGGGCTCAGTGACTGCTGCCCTTCTCAAATCCACAGTTAGCCCAGCTGATTCCAGAGCCATGCACCATACACGTTTCCGTGTTGTCAATAAGTATTTTTGGATCCCCGGTAGCGGGTTTCTCTGCTGACTCAATAAGCCACATCGAGCCAAATTAAAAAGTAAGAGGCCGAGTTTAGTCTGAGAAAAGCAGTCCTGGGTGTTGGGAGTGGGGCAGGAAGCAGGAGTGAGATCACGTGACAGGTCTGTGGGCGTGGTCTTGAGCCAATGCTTTGCAGGCTCTCTGAAGGGGTAGGGTTTGGAGAGGGACGAGGAGGGGCCTGATGTGATGTCACGATGGATTTTCCCCATCCATTCATACACTTGGGAGAATGCTGGTATTTTAAAAATTATGGCTCCTCTTAACCTGCTATCAAAGACTGCTGACACCACATTAAAGTTCAGATTGTCCTTTCCCTGCTACAGCCAAACCCAAGAAATTAGAAATTAGACACTAAAGGCTAGGGTCCAAACACTAGAAGAAATGTGTTCGTCATTCTGAACCTGGGCTATATCACCAAGTGTAGTATTTTCTAATTTCATCCACTTCCTAAAATTTTTATAATTTCATTGTTCTTTGTGGCTGGATAAAATTCTGTTGTGTATACGTACCACAGTTTCACTGTCATCCATCCCTCTTGTGGGCATCTAGACTTCTGCATATCCTTGGCATTGTGAAAGAGCTGTAGTAAGCAGGCATGTGCAAGTATCTGGTAGGATGTGGACTTGTGGGTAAATACCAGAAGATGTGTAGCCAGGTCATTTGAAAGTTCTACTTTTAGTTTCTGTTTTGTTTGAGGAACCTCTACGCTGATTTCCATAGTGACTACACCAGTTGCATCCCCACAAACGGTGAAGAAGGACCCCTTCTCTCCACACACACACACACACACACACCCGCCCCCGTCCTCACTGAGATTTGTTTTCTTTCTTTTTGTTGTTGTTGTTGTTGAAACAGGGTTTCTCTGTGTAGCTCTGGCTGTCTTAGAACTTGCTGGACCAGGCTGGCCTCGAACTCACAGGTCCATCTGCCTCTGCCTCCTCAGTGCTAGAATTAAAGGCATGCACCACCACCACTGGCTGTCATCTGCTTTCTTGAGACATTCTGTCGATGAGTTAGAATCACAAAGCAGTTATTTCCCTGATGGCTAGGAATGTTGAATCTCAGAATTTTTACTGGCCAGTTGGTGGTGTTTCTTTTGGGATTTTTTTTTTTCAGTTGAGTGGCCCATTTATTGGTGGGCATTTTGGTTTGGGGTGTTTAATTTTTACAGATTTACATATAGTCTAGATATTAAACCTTGTCCGAAATAGAATTGGCAAAGGCTGGGCATTTTGGTTTGGGGTGTTTAATTTTTACAGATTTACATATAGTTTAGATATTAAACCTTGTCCGAAATAGAATTGGCAAAGGTTTTCTCCCATTTTTTAGGCTGTGTTCACTCAGTTGATAGTTTTTATTGTTGTGGAGAGGTTCCTAATTTCACTTGTCGATCTTTGGGGCTATTTCTGGTGCTGTTTGAATACTACTCAGAAAGATATTGCCCATGCATACATCGTGGATTATTTCCTCAAGCAGTTTAAACATTTTAGATATTAAATTAAGGTCTTTGATCTCCTTTGGATAGACTTCCATGTAGGATGAGAGATAGGGACTTAATTTCAAAAATGGTTGTTTTGCCTTTCTCATCCCTGATGTATGTTTCCAACACTTTTGTCAAAAATTAGGTGTCTGTAACTGTGTTTATTTCTGGGTCCTCTGCTTTGTTCTGTTGATCTCCGTGTCTGATTTTATGCCAGGACTGTGCTCTCGGTGTCACTGACTCCAGAATACAGTTTGAGATCAGATATGATAATGCTTTGATAATTGCTTCTGTTTAGCATGACTTTCTCTCTGTGGTCTTTCTTGTTTCTGTATTGATTTTAGGATTTTTTTTGCCTAGTTCTATGGAAAATGTCATTTGGAATCTTGATGGATCTCATTCCACTGCCTTAAAGTTTTCGTTGTAGAAGCCCTTTGCCTCTTTTGTTAGGTTTATTCCTAGGTTGTCTCTTCATGCTGTTATTCCTGGGATATTGTTCCTAATTTTTTTGTCAGCAAGTTCATTATTAGTATATGAAAAGATGCTAATTTTTTATGTTGATTTCTTTTGTATCCTGCTACTATACTGACAGTTTATCAAATATGAAAGTTTTCTGGTGTGGTCTGAAGCGTCTTTCAAGTCACCTACAAATAGTTTGATCTCTTCCTAGTTCCTTTTTGTAGAAGATACTTGCGCTCTTTACTGTGTCTTCCTTAGGTTCAGAGACAGCACTGGGTCCTGGTTGTGGGACAGTAGTTTTTAGGGGGTGAGGGCTGTCCTTTAGGGCTAAGAGCATCAGGGTTTGAACGGTGAAGTGAGGAACAAACAAGAAGAGAGGAGGGAGGGACAAAAGTAAAGAGTAAGGAAAACTGTAGGTTAGGAATCAGAAAAGCAGCAGAGACTCTCTAGGACTAGAGAGATGGCTCAGCAGGTAAGAGCACTAACCGCTTGCCCTATTGCTGCAACAAAACAACATAGCCCAAAGCACGTTGGGGAGGAATGTGTTTCATCTTACACATCCATATTGCTGTCCATCACCAAAGGAAGTCCGGCAGGAACCTGGAAGCAGGAGCTGATGCAGAGGCCATGGAGGGTGCTGCTCACTGGCTTGCTCACCCTGGTTTCTTACAGCATCCAGGACCATCAGGTGCACCACCCGCCATGGGCTGGGCCTTGCCCCATCCACCACTAATTGAGAAGATGCTCTACAGCTGGATCTCATGGAGGCATTTTCTCAGCTGAGGCTCCTTCCTCTCAGATGACTCTAGCTTGTTCAAGTTGACACACAAAGCCAGCCAGTGGTACACTGCCCTTCAGAGGACCCAGGTTCAGTTCCCAAGATCCACATGGCAGCTCACAACCATCTGTAACTCCAGTTCCAGGGACTCTGATACCCTCTTCTGACCTCCGCCTCAGGCACCAGGCACCCACATGATATACACAGCCTTACAAAAACAAAACATTCATACCCCAAAATAACTAAAACTTTCAAAATAAATAATTTCCAGTGAGATACAGGTTACAGCCCAGCAACTTAACACTTAAGGTACAAACATGTGTACTAAAAAATAAAGCTTAAATGTGTATTTATACATAGTAAAAGTTTAAGTCAAGTAAAATGAAAACAAATAATAAGAAAGAAACTACGAATTAAAGAGCAACACAAACAAATGAGCAATAAATGAAACAGAAGGTGCCGTGTTCTCATCCATCCCTCCTTCTGGTTGGGCTGTGTTCAGTCCCTTGGGGTACTGCAGCAGGTTCCACCACCAGCCTGCTGTGTCCCTGCCGCTCCTGCCTGCAGTGACGGCACGAGGGTACTGGGAACCTCAGCTTCCGAGTCCCTTGTCATATTCCTGCTGGTGTCTTTCACCACACCCTGGTTCTTGTTCTGATAATGGTCTGCTTCGGTGCTGACCCAGCAGCGGCAGAGGTGACCACATAGTGACTGTCATTGTCTCTCAGCTTCAGGCCCCTTCCGAGACATCTTTTCTGACCCATTGTCCAAGCTACATTCTCTTCTCCTGCGATGCCGACTTCAGCTCCTGGTGCTGCTTCTTTTAAATATCATGCTTAGAAATAGGTAGCATTTACTTATGTAACTATTTAAAACTTTGGGGGAGATTATTTTGTGTTTTTTGATAAAAGTCTTATTATTTGCATTCTGGCTCAGAACTGACCATGTAGACCAGCCTGGCCTCAGATTTGCAGCAATCCTCCTGCCTCTGCCTCCTGAGTTCTGGATTAACACAAACTTTTTAAAATCTTTTTTTAAAACTGATTGTAAATGAAGGAGAATTATTTTATATTGAAATGCGTTCTATTTAAATTGAAAATCATGCAACAGTAGTATAGAAGCGGCCTTGGAGATGTGAAAAATTCATGTTCATTATTTTCTTCATTATACAAATGCGGATCCTGATTGCTTTTCTTGTTTTGAAGAGACTACGTCCATCCTTAGGTTGATATTTTGTCAGATTAAAATAGCTGATAATCTCTTCCCAAAGCTCCCCATACTGATCCTGCCCCTGGTCTTCCAGTGAGTTCATGTCAGCCCACTGTGGTAAAAGAGACTGTTTTCCTTTCAGAAGTGTGACAGGAGCTAACATTTTAGTGACACAGCACAGCCAGCCTACCCATCGCTCTCCAGCCCTGGGCATCTGGGTTCCGTGGTTCCAGGTAGCAGTGATGTCAGCTGAGGTCTCACGGCAACTGGACGTACTCGTTTTCTCTTGGAATTGAGAACTGGAGCAAGAACAGGGAGCTGTGGGATGGGTAGGGCTTTTGAGACCAAACCTGGCGAGAAATCTAGTTGGCTCACTGGCTAAGAAAATGGTACAATTCCTCCACGCATCAAGCTTTGGGCAGACTTTATAGGGAGGGATTTAACCTGGTCTATTGGAACTTGGCAGTGTGATTTATAAAGAAAAGAATACATACCATAAACGAGCATGCTAAATATTAAGACCTATGTAGCTTTTAAAATAAAAGCAGGATCCAATTTTGGACTGATATGACAGAATTTGCCATTTAGATGTTCTCGGGTATTTGTTTTCTAAGTGGCACTGAAAACCTTTTTATTATGATATGTGGGGTAGTGCATGCCCCTAATCCCAAAACTGAGGTAGCTATGACAGAATGTTTGGTAGAGCCCAGCCTGGGCTCTATAACAAGACGCCAGCCTTAGAAGACGAGAAATTTACATTGTGCGTGATTGTATCTGTTTACTAGCCTTAGTATCATAATGGAAATTTTAAAATTGAGTGCTGAGGAAGATTGAGAAATTGTTCATTAAAAATGTAAAAATATCACTACAAGCTCCCCCCAACCATGTGACTTTCAGAATTATTTTTAGGAACAGCTGAGAGTTAAAAGTCCTTTCAGGCCAGGAAGTGGACATCTATTGAGACATTTTACAGTGCTGGGCAGGGGAAATGCACACTACATCCTTCAAAACAACTATCTTGTAGGTCATTGAACTAATACATTTTTAATGTTGAAGAAATACATGGAAGAAATCCAAAACTACCTTTTTCTGGTTTTATTCTTTAGACCAGGCCTAAACTCACAAAGCCGCCCCTCACCTCTGCCTCCCGAGTACTGGGGTTGATGGCCTGCCCCACCACTGCCTGGTCTTATTCTTTCTATTCATGTGTCTGCATAAAGTCTTAAGAAGGTGTGGGTACGTCCTGTTGAACTTTTATTCTATCCTCTAAAAATCAAAACGTCCCTTGAAAATAAGACATTCCAGCCAGGTGTGGTGGTTCACACCTTTAATCCCAGTACTCAGTCGCAGAGGTGGACGGATGTCTGAGTTCTAGGCCAGGCTGGTCTACAGCACGAGCTCCTGGACAGCCAGGACTACACAGAGAAACAAAGAAAAAAAGAACGTAAGGCACTCACTAGCAGTTTGAGGGTGAGTTCGTCCTTGTAAGAGTGGTAGAGTTTGGTGGTGGGCTTCAGAGGGCCAGTTCTGATTTTGCCTTTTTTCACGCTGCTGAGATTGAACTGGTGCCTCGGGCTTGCTAGACAAAGTGGTTTTGTCTTTGCACTAACCAGCGATAGTATGGTTTGTAGCTAAGGAAGCAAGAATAGTCAAGTTTCTCCATCTTTGCCTCTGGTGAATACCAACAGTTTTCCCTGACCATTGAATTGGCAATTTATACTTTATTAAAGTAAAATTTTAATTCTTTATCACCTGTTTATAAGTTTTTGAGTAAACCCCTACTTCATTGTGAGCATTTAATTTTTCCTCTTTTGGTGGACCTGTTTCAGAAACGTCTAATTACTGAATTTGCATTTCTCATTCAGGTTATACACTGGCTCCCAGTGGCACTGTGGATAACTTTTCCGATTCTGGCCACAGTGAAATTTCTTCACGGTCCAGTATCGTCAGCAATTCTTCTTTTGACTCGGTGCCAGTCTCGCTGCATGATGAACGGCGCCAGAGGCATTCTGTCAGCATTGTGGAGACCAACCTAGGCGTGGGCAGGATGGAGCGGCGGACCCTGATTGAGCCCGACCAGTACAGCTTAGGGTAAGCGTCTGGCTGCTTGCCCTCTGTCCTTTCCCTCTTGTGGGCCTGCTGTGAAGTGCTGTTTGTTATGCAGACTGCTTTTGTAGTTGTGTTCTTTCTCCTATGGGCCCCTGGGGCTCTGTGCTGGAGGAAGACTGTACCAGTAGGACACGCCCTAGTCTCTGTCTGAGCTGCGTTCCATAGGTAACCACAGTGTATTCAGCCACCACAGCCTTGTAAGGAAAGTGCTCCTTTTTGGTTTGTAGCAAGTTGTTGGTCTCTTCCCCATTTTTGCTTTGTAAAAAGGTGAATGAACGGTATGGCATAACTGGCCACTCTGATCCCATTCTGGAGCTCTTTCTTCCTTTTTCCGGGATGAAACAGAGCCACTTTTCTAGGGGAAAAGGTACTTTATAGGCGTAGTGGCTCAAGCCTATTATCCTAGTATAGGGCTGAGGTAAGAGGTTCGTGAGTTCAAGGCCTGCCTAGACTACAAACCAAGAGCTTGTCTCAAAGCAGCAAAACAGTTCATCAGCAACAGACTCACACCTTCCTTTCCTTTGTTTTGGACGACAGGTCGTATGCCCCCATGTCTGAAAGCCGAGGCCTGTACGCCACAGCAACTGTCATCTCTTCTCCTAGCGCAGAGGAGCTCTCCCACGACCAGGGGGACCGCGCCTCCCTCGATGCTGCTGACAGCGGTCGTGGGAGCTGGACGTCATGTTCCAGTGGTTCCCACGACAACATCCAGACCATCCAGCACCAGAGAAGCTGGGAAACACTGCCGTTTGGGCACACTCACTTTGACTACTCAGGGGACGCTGCAGGCATGTGGGCCTCCGGTAGCCACATGGACCAAATGATGTTTTCTGACCATAGCACAAAATACAGTAGACACCATCAAAGTAGAGAGAGCCTTGAACAGGCCCAGTCCCGGGCCAGCTGGGCGTCTCCCACGGGCTACTGGGGAGAAGACTCAGAAGGTGACACGGGCACTATCAAGCGAAGGGGTGGCAAGGATGTCTCCAGTGAGGCAGAGAGCAGCAGCCTGGCGCCTGTGACCACAGAGGAAGCCAAGCCTGTCCCCATGCCTGCCCACATAGCGGTGACGCCAAGTGCTACAAAGGGACTCATTGGTAGGTATGGGAATGGGATACGGGGTGCACCTGGACCATGGGTGGAAACTGGTTTGTCCCGCACCACACAGGGGTCCAAATGGCCAGGGCTTTACAGCCAAGTGTGTGGTCAGAGACAGCGCAGTTGAGCATTCACTAAAGCGTAGTCCGCAGAATCAATAGGTTGTTGATACTGTCTGAAAATTGTTAGAGTAGGTGCCTGTGTTCTCTACAGAGGAGTGATTTCCTTTCGTTGAAACCCAGAAAAAATGGTTTATTATTCTCTTGTCCCCTTGAATTGTGTCAGGAACTCTTTATCCTTTGTATTTTTGAAATTTTTCATTTTGTTTTTTATGCAGACAATGTGTTTCTACTAAACAAATTCTTTGTGCATGTTAGAACAGGGGTAAAGAACTCAGAGATGGGTAAGCGAGTGGGAGGAGACCAGGCAGAACTAGAATCCCTGTTTTGACACTTCAGACACTCAGCTATGCCTGCTCATCTGTAAAGCGAGCGCCATAATTTTATCTTTTAAAGAAATACTTATTTTATTTTATGTGCATTGGTGTTTTGACTGCATGTATGTCCGTGTGAGAGTGTCAGATCCCCTGGAGCTAGAGACAGTTGTGAGCTGCCGTGTGGGTGCTAGGAATTGAGCCTAGGTCCTCTGGAAGAGCAGCCAGTGGTCTTGGCCACTGAGCCATCTCTCCAGCACAAACATTATAGATATGTTTTTTTGAGGCAGGGTTTCTCTGTGTAGCCCTGGCTGTCCTGCAACTCACTTTGTAAACCAGGCTGGCCTTGAACTCACAAAGATCCACCTGCCTCTTCCTTCTGAGTACCTCTTGTACCTGTTTTGCCTTAATCCTCACAATAGGGCTAAGAGTTCGGCTAGTTTTAAACTCACCGTTTTTAGTTGAACTCCCTGGGTTTATAGTGGTAGCTTTGCTCAGCGGTTATCCACTGCACAGAAATGACCTAGTATTTGCGCAGACAGCCTACTTCCCTGGAGTGTCCTGAACGGTCCTCGTAGCCTGCACTTGACCCTTGACCCTTGACCCTGATGCCCTGCCTTCTCTCTGCAGCTCGGAAGGAGGGAAGGTACCGGGAACCGCCGCCCACACCTCCAGGCTATGTGGGCATCCCCATCACTGACTTCCCTGAGGGGCCTTGCCACCCAGCCCGGAAGCCTCCGGACTACAACGTGGCCCTGCAGCGGTCCCGCATGGTGACACGGCCCACGGAGGCCCCGGCTCCAGTGCAGACGCCTCCTGCAGCCAGCAGGCCGGGAAGCAAACCGCAGTGGCACAAGCCCAGTGATGCAGACCCTCGCCTAGCGCCCTTCCAGCCGCAGGGCTTCGCTGGTGCTGCCGGCGGCGAGGAGGACGGTAGGCTCCCCGCCCCCGCTCCATCCCACCCAGCTCCTGGGGTGACTTGCTGGCAGCTCCTGGTCCCATTTGCTTGGAAGGATCAGGGCAGTGGTTCCAGGCTTGCTGTGGAGGGTTTTCCCCTCTTTGACGTTTTTTAAATGGCTTAAAAAGTGCCAGCGATTACAGAAGGGTCGCTTGTAAGAAAGTGTGCACATGGCTGGGGTAGAGCCCAGGTCCTACTGTCCGCTAGGCAAGGTCTACCTGACACAGCAGCCTAGCCTGGATTTCTAGGGCAATACTTAGTAAAACTGGAGTTCTTTTGTGGCTCTGTTTTAGGGATAAGAGTAAAAGCCTCTGGTTGTTGCTCATTTTAGGAATTCAGAGGAACATCTGGATGTATTGAGTCACAGCTGGGTCACATTTGCAGTGGGGGCGCTGCAGTTGGACACCGACTGGGTGGAGCGTGGCTGGGAGATGAGTAAACACTGTGCACCCTTGAGGGCTCTCTGCTTCTCTGTGGATACCCCTGCTAACACTAGGGCAAGGAGAGATCTGGCCTGCACTGCTTAGTGTCCTGTGTAGTGTGTTTATTACACAGCCATTGTAGCAAAGCCCAAAACATAGTGACTAGATAAATAATATATATAGTGCATGCGTGTTGCCTGTGGAGACCAGAAGATACTTGATTCCCTAGAACCGTTATACCTGCCATGTGGGTGCAGGAAGCAAACCAGTCCTCAGGAAGAAGACTTCTAGACTTCTTAAAGTATAACTGTGTTGTTAAAAAATGAGGGGCTTGAGGCTGGTTCAACAGCTAAGAGCTCTTGTTGGTCTACCAGAGGACCAGAGTTCAGTTCCTAGTGTCCATCATGTGAGTGGCTTACAGCAGCCCTGTAACTCCAGCATCCAAGAGACCCAACACACTCTGCTGGCCTCTCCCTCTCCCTCTCCCTCTCCCTCTCCCTCTCCCTCTCCCTCTCCCTCTCCCTCTCCCTCTCCCTCTCTCTCTCTCTCTCTCTGTGTCCCTCCCTCCCTCTCTCTCTCTGTCCCTCCCTCCCTCTCTCTCTCCCTCCTTCCCTCCCTCCCTCCCTCCCTCTCTCTCTGTCTGTCTCTCTCTCCCCCTCTCTCTCTCTCTCTCTCTCTCTCTCTCTCTCTCTCTCTCTCTCTCTCTCTCTCTCTCTCTCTCTCTCTCTCTCTCTCTCTCTCTCTCTCTCTCTCTCTCTCTCTCTCTCTCTCTCTCTCTCTCTCTCTCTCTCTCTCTCTCTCTGTCTCTGTCTCTGTCTCTTTCTCTCCCCCTCCCTCTGTCGAGGCACGGCCATGGTTAAGAGTGCATACTGCCCTTGTAGTGAGGTTCAGGTTCTAACACCCATGTGGTATGACTCACAACTGCCTGAGTCTTACTCCAGGGTTGCTAATCATCTCTCTGGCTTCCATGGACAACTGTCCTCACTTGTACATACCACACACAGAAACAGGCATACATACGCTTAAAAATAAATCTTAGAAAAAGACCTGTTACTTTAGAACTTAAATAGTTATTAATAACTTTCCAACCAATAAGCATGCAATGGGTTTAATTTTATTTATTTATTGTCAGCTTAGTTTTGGTTTCTTTTGCTGTTACAAAAACATTCTAACCAAAAGCAACTTGGGGAGCACAGGGTTTATTTCATTCCATGTAACAGTCCATACATAATTCAGGGAAGCTGGAGCAGGATCTGCAGCAGAGACCATGGAGAAACACTGCTTACTGGCTTACTCCCAAGCTCACATACAAGCAAGGCCCACTTTCCTAGGGACGGTATCACCTACGGTGGGTGAGGCCCTCCTACGTGAATTAGCAATCGGGGCACTCTCAGTGGCAGTTCCTTAAAATGACCTCTTTCGAGGTTTGTCAAGGTGACAACCTAGATGTCACAGTTGTAACTTTTTAAGACATGCCAGGCTGGCTTCAGACACCTGCTCCTGGCTCGGCTCCTGGGCACTGGAATTATGGACCTGAATGACCACACAAAGCTGCCTTTTTAATAGCATATATAAGCCAAGTGCACAGCTTTAATCCCAGCACTTAGGAAGCAGAGGCAGGTGGAACTCTTCATGTTCAGGGCCAACCCTCCCTGCATAGGGAGTCCAGGACAGCCAGGGCTACATAGAGAAACCCATCCCAATCCAACCCCCCAAACATATACAAACATATTGTGTATATGTGCTTAAAGATTTGCATGATGCACCCATTTTTTAACTTAAAGTTACCAAGGACAGTATGTGAGCTACATTAAATATGTATTTTTTTTAACTCAAGTGAACATGGTAGCACAAACAGTTGTCTCCTTGTTGACTTTTTATGTGTTTTGTTTTCTCTCCCGCTGCGTGTGCAGAAGATGAACAGGTGTCTGCGGTGTGAGGCACAGGCTTCTTAATCCAGAGCGAGAGCACAAGAAGATGTCGGAAGCATCGGAGCCTTGGCACGCACATCCTGAGGATGGTGGACCAGTTTGCCTCCTTCCCTGCCTTAAAGCAGCATGGGGCTTCTTCTCCCCTTCTTCCTTTCCCCTTTGCATGTGAAATACTGTGAAGAAATTGCCCTGGCACTTTGCAGACCTTATTGCTTGAGATGCACAGTCCAGCAGTCTCCGGGCTGCTGCCTGCCACAGACACAGTATCATTCCAGATTCCAAGATCATCGCCAGGTGATTCCCTCTGGCTGCACTTCTCTACGCCTGGAAGGAGTTTTCGATCTTCCTCTTAGATTTCAATCCAGCCCTGGCCCTCGGTCTCATTTGGAAGATGAGAAAAGCTAGCCTTTGAACTACTTGGGGTCTTGCACCCACCAAGGAAGACAAAGACAGACATGAAATCCTTTGAGTACAGTGCTCGTCCACTTGTTTACAATATCCTTTAAAAATGAGTTTAAAGATTGTGTTCAGAGAGTTGATGTTATATCCATTTAATGATTACAGTATTATTTTGAACCTTAAGTAGGATTGCCAGCCTGGGTTTCTGAAAAACCAAATATGCCGGACAGGGTATGGCCGCACCAAGGGAAGACCCGGAAGTGACGCTGTCTTCCTGTCTTCCCATGTCCTTCTGGCTTGCCCGTGAAGTGCCCTATCCCAGAAGCATCAAACGTTAGCCAATCACTTAACTACCAAGACTCCTCACCTGCTCCTTCCCCAGTGGGTGAAGCTCTAATATAAACCTGTTTGCACATGGCCAGGGGAGGGAACGGGGACTCGTGTGTCCTGCCTTAGCCTTATGAGGCAGGACCATGTTATTTGAGAGTGTGTCCTGCTCAGTTACAACGGATGGCAACCCCTGTTTTTAAGTTATGGTTTTTTTTTATTTTTTGTTTTGTTTTTGAGTTTTGTTAATTTAGAGTTTTAGAGTTTTTTGTTTTTATTTTTTAAAAGAAAGAAGCATAACTGGATAACATCGCAGTGAAGCAGCGTGGGGTGTTGGAGTGAATGCCAGCTGTTTGTACTGCTCTTTCAAGACAGCCTCCCCTTGTTGAGTTGGCACCAGAGAGTGTGTCTTTAAGCATGGTTAGAGGTCACGCGGTTAGATGCACCAGCCTTTGCAAGGTGGGTCAGTCGCCAAAGACTGTCCTGGAAGTGGCTTCCTGGGCCCTGCATAGAGAAGCCCTCGTGTAGCGCCCATCTGCTCATAGAGAAGCCCTAAGTGTAGCGCCCATCTGCTCATAGAGAAACCCTAAGTGTAGCGCCCATCTGCTCACAGCTGCTATGGACCTGGAATGACGAAAACCACCCCGCCGTTCTGTTTTTGTGTTGTTTTTGCACAGACTCCGGAAAAGTGAAGGCTGCCAATCCGAGTAGTACTCAGATGTGAGGGGCTGCTGGTCTTGGATTTTTCCATTAAATTCAGCTGATCATATTGATCAGTAGATAAACGTAAATAGCTTCAAATTTTAAAGGTCGAATTGCAGTGTTTTTTCACTGTGTCAAACAATGTCAGTGCTTTATTTAATAATTCTCTTCTATGTCATGGCATCTGTCTACTTGTGTATCACATTGTCACTTAACGCATTTGTAATTTTACATGTAATATGCATTATTGCCAGTTTTCCTATATAGGCTATGGACCTCATGTGCATATAGAAAGACAAAAATCTAGCTCTATCACAAATTGCACAGATGTTATCTAAACATTAAGTAATTGTAGAACATAGGACTGCTAATCTCAGTTCGCTCTGTGATGTCAAGTACAGAATGTAAAATTAACTGGTGATTTCCTCATACTTTTGATACTACTTGTACCTGTATGTCTTTTAGAAAGACATTGGTGGAGTCTGTATCCCTTTTGTATTTTTAATACAATAATTGTACATATTGGTTATATTTTTGTTGAAGATGGTAGAAATGTACTATGTTTATGCTTCTACATCCAGTTTGTACAAGCTGGAGAATAAATAAATATAACATAAAGCCTTGTCTAAATTTTTAATGAATTGTGCATGCTTTTTATTACTGAAATAAAGCAGAGGTTACACTCCAGGATCGGGCCTCAGGAGGCTGAGAAGTTTAGCCTCTTGCTTGGCAGAAACTGGGTGATAGCCTGTTTCTTTCTCATGGTTCTTTATTGAGTCAAAGAAATTAATACCGTTAATGTTAGCACCAATTAAACCTCGTTCAAATTCTCACATGTTTCTTGAGACTCACTGTAGCATTTGTCTCCTCTGTACCTTGTGAATCTCTATAGTACGTACCATTTTTTTATTTCATGGAATATGGAGAACTCAGAATGACATTGATTGTCACAGTCACCAAGAACAATTTGGCTAAGTGTTGTAGACATCCAGCTAGCACATGATACTCTCTGGTCTGTGAGCTGTTTTGTTTTCACTGCTGAGACTGATCCAACCCAGAGCCTCTTGCCCAGCAGTTATATTTTAATAGATGAAAATCAGTTAAGTGTAGCCTGCTTAAATACATTTTGAGTTTCTTCCCTCAGGAAGATGTAAGTATAAGTCTGAGAAACTGGACTGAATGCACAGAAATTGGGAGGCCAGAAAATGGACGGAGAAGTTGGAGGAAGGCCCTCCCGCACACCAACTTATGCTAAATCTGTCTATCAAAATGGTTAGGGGATTTGAAGGAAAAGGAAGGTTTCACTTGTTTTAGAGAATATCCTCGTCACTTTTGTTTGCTCAAAGAAGTAGGATGGCAAGTTACCTGTGGTTGCTGCCCTTCCATCTTACCTACCTTCCAGACTCTCAGTAAGCAGCCTTCTGAGCCAAATAGCTGACTATGACTTCAAGCAGTAAGTATCTACTAGATACAACTAGTTGTGGGGGGGGTTGGGAGGGTGGAGTGTTTCCATCTGTGTGACTAATATAACTCCGCTGTTTACTGCTCTAGTTGGCAGCGTGAACCTTGGAGATAGGGGACTAAAATTGAGCAGACTACAGTCTCATGCAAGAGCCAGATTTATTCAGAGCATCAGACAATTTATACTTGGAGGGTTAAGAAGAGTCACGTGAGGATAAGCCACACTTGGCAAAAGTGTGTTCTTCCTTAAAGGCCTGTGAACAACAGCTAAAGTGAGCTCGCTCCTGTCCACTACACCTGGGAGGGGCACGAAAGCACATTAAAAGAACAGTTCTGTGTTTTTGGAGAAACCAAGGTCACAAGACTCTTGTTTTCTTGGCAATTTTCTCACAAGCACCCAGAATTCCCCTTGTACGACTCCCGACCCTCTGCCACGTTTGTTCTTTCAAGAGTGGAGTTAAGCTGGGGCTGAGAACTTGTTAAGCAAGCGCTTATCCGTGGAGCCAGCACCCATTCACCATGTTGTAGGGATTTTGTAAGAAGTTTGGATAAGCATCTTACCTTCCCCCTAATGCAAATACTTGGTCTTTGTTTCCCACGTACATGTTATAGCCCTAGATAAATATTTTCTTCAATCTGTTTCCAAATTAGGAAGCATCTATATGTTCATCTATACGTATTCTTATTACTATTGTTTTATATGTATACATATGTGTGTTACATGAGTGTACCTTGGAGGCCAGAAAAGGGCATTGGGTCGTCTGGAACGGGAGTAGGTGCTGGGAATCGAACCGGGGTCCTCTTGAAGAGCAGCTAGTGCCCCAGCCCCCATCTAAACTTGTATCTTAAAATGTTCTTTTAAGTGGTTCAGGCCTCTGAGGGTGTATGAGTTAGCATGTCAGATAGGTTTCTGTGTTATTCAATGTACTATACCTTCGTGCTAAAGAAATGGGAACTCTAGAGTCTTGATCCTATAATATTCTCTTTTAAAAAGCAACTGATTCAGGGGGCTGGAGATATAGCCAGGCAAGCATGAGGACCTGAGTTTGGAGCCTCTGCACCCGTTTAAAAGCCATGGGCCGTGGCTAGTGCTTGTAATCCCAGTTCTGAAAAGACAGAGTCAGGAGGATCAAAGGGCCTTGCTGACCAGCCAGACTAGCTGAATGTGATCTCCATGTTCTTCAAAAGACAGTTCCAAAACTAAAGTGGATAGCCACTGAGGAAGCCACCTGAAATTAGCCTCTGGCCTACATACATGTGTGAACAGTTGGAAACCCCTACTCATGCACCATACACAAAATAAATATAGCTGATTCAGATCTGGAGATGTAGCTCAGTTGAGTGCTTGCTTAATAGGCATGACCTGGGTTCCATCCTAGCATCCCATAAAACAATGTGCTTAGTGAACACCTGTAATTGCCGCATTCAGGGAATTGAGACAGGGATTCGAAGTTCACAGTCATTCTTTGATAGGTACCGAGTTTGAGGCTAACCTGCACTATGTGAAACCCTGTCTCAAACAACAAAAACCACCCTGGTCTGGAGAACTCAAGATCATGAAGCACCCAAGGAGTCAGGTTGTCTGGAGACTGAAGATTAGGGACATCGGCAGAGATGAAGGCTTTCTCGGTGTTTGCGAGTATCCTTCTAGAGGACCCAGGTTCTGTTCCCAGCACTCAGGACAGGCAGCTCACAACTGCTTGGTAGCTCCTGTGCTAGGGAATCTGACACCATCTTCTGTTCTCTGTGGGCATCTGGGCAATGTGGCATACACAAAACAAAGGCATACCTCAAGGCCACGCATAGAGAAATGCGTATCAGAGAGATGGAAGACTTTAAACAGATGAGCATTGTCTTAGGGCTTCTACTGCTGTGAAGAGACACCGTGACTATGGTAACTCTCATAAAGGAAGACGTTACAGTTTCAGAGCTTTAGTCCCTCACCATCGTCGTGGGGCGTGGCAGCGTGCAGGCGAACACGGTGATGGACAGGGAGCTGAGAGTTCTACATCTTGCTGGCAATGAGAAGTGAACTGCCTTGTAACACTGGACATAGCTTAACCGTAGGAGAGACCTCAAAGCCCACCCCCACAGTGACGCACTTCCTCCAACAAGGCCACACCTACTCCAACAAGGCCACACCTCCTAGTAGTGCCACTCCCTTTGGGGGCCATTTTCTTTCACACCACCACAGGCGTTTTTACCTAGTTGAGAGAGTGAATCAAAGCTCTTAGGAGAGCTGAAAAATAATTTATGAGTCATGCCTCTTTTAAACATCCAGTACCAGGACCTCTGCCTGTGTTTGAGATCTGCCTGCGTTGCCCACTTGATTTTCACAGTGCTGTGGCTGTTTAGCAGCAAAACTTACAGAAACTTGAGAATCTGGGTTCCGTTTCATGGCCAGTATAGATTACGGCAACCTTGATACTGGAAAAGAGGCTAAACCTAGAGTAAAGTACCTAAGGGCCATTTTATAGAGGAGAATGTGAAATTCAATGCCTCAAATAGAACTCCATCTTTTTTTCAGATAGCTTATAAAATTTAAGCTATTAACTATCTGATTTGATACCAAGGTGTCGATGAAAGCAACGTGGGAAGGTGGGAATCAATGGAATGACAGCATCACAGTGCTGCAGGGTTTCCTTAGCTTACACAGATTAAGACCCCCCCCAAAAATATAGAATTGATTTAAGATCATGAACAATCCACATTGGTCACTAAGATGGCAATGTGGACAGTGTGTTATGTACAGTTGTAAACTCCTTTCAGGCGCTTGTCTAGATGGCTCATGCTTATAGATTTCATCTGAGTGAACTGAGGTACTGTGAGAGCCAAAGTTACATTTTAAGTTTTAATTATCACGTCTAAGTGATCCATGAAACAAAAATGCCTCTGATCTGCAATCCCGTTGGCCCAAGGACAGCCAGTTCCTGAAGTGCTGGAGGCTGTTGTTTACGGGAGATAACCAGCCACATGTTTTCACTCCCCTGAACACGTTTGTGTGACCCATCCTTTGTGGGCAGGAGGTATGGAGGCAGGAGTATATCCCTGATTGGGTATAGGCTGGCGGGACACAGGCAGGAAAAATGTCAAGATGTATGCTTGCCCTGATTGGACCTAATGGGAAATACTGGAAGCGCTTAAAAACTGTTGGGTTGGGGCCATTTTCTGGGATCGTGGTTATGAACCTGGCCAGAGCCCATCCACCTGGCCAGTATTTGATTATTAAAGTTTGCTTCAAATTTGGCTTTAAACTGTGGTAGTGATCTTATTCTCAATTGGTGTGAATAACGACCTTCTAAAGACATTTTCTTTGAGAGGGTGTTTCATGTAGCTAGGGATCTAGATAGGAGAACTACACCTTAGTAATTTACAAACTTTACTTATCAAACAAACAAGCATATGTTATTTATTATCTAAAATTTTCTAGAAGCCTGGTCCCAAACCCAGGAAAGACATAAATGGTTAGACATGCATCTCTAAGTCAGTTTCTGTTAACCTGAGTAGACTTTTATAACTTTAGGAACTTATAAAACTTATATATACATCATTCATCAAGCATATTTGTTTCTTATCTAAAGTTTTTTACTCTTAGGACAAAAATCATCATACAAAATCCATCCTAATCCAAAACTATCTTGGTGACCACACACTGTTGCCTCCATGGTTTAAAAAGGAGATATATTGATAAGAATAGGGCCAGTAGGACTGAGACATGTTGTGGGTGCCGCCCCTTAGCTTGGTTTGTACCACATGATCATCTTAGGATGGTGGTGAAATTTCCTAGCATGTGCTCTCTTTAACTCGGTTAGAGATAGGTGACAGCTGCGTGGTTGCTTTCACTCTGGTGAGGTCATCAATCACGATTGTCACAAGCCACATGGCTGCTATTTATACCAAGGCAAGCCCATCAGGTACACATCCCTTTCCCCCTTTTTAACCTATTTCCCTACACAGGAGTTGAATCTAAGCTATACAGTATGCTGTAGCAGGTCTCTATTTCTAAACAAGAGCTGAATACAAGTTACATATAAGCAAATTAAGATCACCTATGCAGCCGGGCGGTGGTGGCACACGCCTTTAATCCCAGCATTCGGGAGGCAGAGGCAGGAGGATCTCTGTGAGTTCGAGGCCGGGCTGGACCGATAGCCTCCGAA